GTGGGTTTATAGTTTTCATCAAATTTGGAAAGTTTCGGGTCCCTATTTCTGCAAATAATTTTCCTGTACCCCCAATTGCCTCTCTTATGGGAACTCCAGTGACCCATGTACAAGGTCCCTTGAAGTTGTCCCATAGCTTTCCTTCTCCAGATTCTTTTTTTCTTGTTTCATTTTAAATATATATATATATATATATATATATATATATATATATATATATATATATATATAATTTTTTTTTTAATTGATTTTTACAGTGAGGAAGGGAGAGGGATTGGAAGAAACATTGAAGAGAGAGAAACATTAATCAGCTGCCTCCTGCACTCTTCCTCACTGGTTGTGACCACAACCAAGGTAAATGCCCTTGACCAGAATTGAACCCGGGACCCTTCAGTCCGCAGGCCGAGGCTCTATCCACTGAGCCACACTGGCTTTGGCATCTTGTTTCATTTTAGACAGTTTCTATAGCCATGCCTTGACGTTCCCTCGCCTCTTCTGTGAGGTCTACTCTGCTGCAAATCAGCTATAGAAGTGCAGTGGGAAGGTTTTCCTTTTTTCCTCCTCCTCTCTCTCTAAATCTTCCACCTCACTCCCTCACTTTCTGAATCTATAAACGGTTACAATGTTTTGATGTCCTTTCATGCTAGTTCTAGCATCTGCGCCAGCTTAAAATCTGTTCCCGTTGCTCTCATCCTGGGCTGTGCTCCTTGCCTGCTGGGTCATCTCTGACTGGATGCCAGGCGTGGTGGATTCTACCCCGCAGGGTGCCAGCTCCTTTTGTATTCTTACAAAGCTTTTTGACCGTTGTTCTAGGATACGCTGGAAACTGGCCTGGAAATACTCTGATTCTTTCAAGTCTTATTTTCATGAATTGTTAGTCACGTCCGGAGCGGTCGAGGGCTAATTATGCCTCATTGATGAGGCAAGACTTTCCTGAATAGTTAGACAAGGATGCCTCACGCAAATCTGAAAATGAAATATATTAAATAAACACCGTCTTTATAATTACTCAACATGTGTGAACACATTTTTGGGACACCTTCTATTAATATTTCTTACATTTAATTATTATTATTATTATTTTAAACCTCACCCAAGGATATTTTCCCATTGCTTTTTAGAGAGTGGAAGAGAGAGGAAAGACAGAGAAACATCAGTGTGATAGAAACATCATTTGGTTGGTTGGCTGTTGCATAAGCCCCAACTAGGGTCTGGGCCGGGGTGGAGCCGGCAACCCACCAGAATCGAACCCAGGACCCTTTGGTCTGCAGGCCAGTGTTCTATCCACTGAACCAAACCAGCTAGGGCAGAGGTTGACAAACTCATTAGTCAACAGAGCCAAATACCAACAATACAATGATTGACATTTCTTTGGAGAGCTAAATTTTTTAAACTTAACCTTCTTCTAACGCCACTTCTTCAAAATAGACTCGCCCAGGCCATGGTATTTTGTGGAAGAGGCACACTCAAGGGGCCAAAGAGCCGCATGTGGCTCGAAAGTCACAGTTTGTTGACCACAAAGCCAGGGCATATATTTAATTTTTATTTGTTTATTTTTATGAAGTTTTGACATCTTGGGGCCTCGCTAAACCTGGAGAGACCGCCTCTCCCAGAGTTGGTTAATTCCTAAAAGATAGTAAACCAGGTGTCTGCCAGTGGGACATCCATATGCAAATGAATGAATCAAAGTCTGCGCCCAGTGGCCTTCCTGTGGCTCTCACACCCCAAGCCCCCTTTTTCCCAGCCCTAATGCAACCTGAGCTGGGTGCTGGGAACGAGGGACACCCCATGCCCAATCCTAAACTCGCTCCACAAGGCCCGCCCTGCCTCCCCGCTCCCCCTCCTGCCACACCCTGTGTCCCAGGAGGCCTGCGTGGAATGGCCTGCTCCCCTGGGCTGTCTCCGTGTCTGCAGCCTCCCCACCGCTCGTTAACACAGGGTCCTGGGGGGACGGAAAGAGCAGTCTGCCCACAGCCTGTCTGGCTGGGAAGGGGGACCTTTCCCGGCTCTGCTTACTGCCCAGCACTGCTCGCTCTAACCCTCCCTCTGTGGCTGGCTCCCGGGCGTGGCTGGTTTCAGTGGATGAAGAGAGAGTTCCTTGGGGAGGGCCTCTAACAAGGTGACCTGATGGCACGTTCCTGGCGGGGTCGGTCAGGATGGGCAGCCACACTCCAGGGCTGTAAGTTCCTCACACGATTTAAAAAATATATATTCTTACCGATTTGATAGAGGAAGAAACATCAATGATGAGAGAGCACCCTGGATCGGCTGCCTCCTGTACGCCCCCCGGCACTGGGGATCCAGCCCGCAACCCTTGTGCCTTTGCCTGGATTCGAACCTGGGACCTTTCAGTCTGCAGGCCGACGTTCTATACACTGAGCCAAGCCAGCTGGGACTGTAACTTCTTTAGTAAAAGGCTTTTCCTTCAGCCCCGCCCATTTTCTGTGCATCCAGGTTAATATACCTTTGAAATGTCCTTTCAGACCCTCCTTCACAACACCCTTTTTTAATCCTCACCCGAGGACGAGTTTTTATTGATTTTAGAGAGGAAGGGAGAAAGGGAGAAACACCCATTGTTTGCCTCCTTTACACACTCCATTTGGGAATCAAACCTGCAACCTGGGCCTGTGCCCTGACCAGGAGTTAAACCGGACCTTCTGGTTCACAGGTCGACACTCAGCCAGAGCCATGCCAGCTGGGTTAACCAATTCCACATTTTTTACTGGGAACAGTTAATTAGAAGCAAAACCGTGAGACCCCCCCTTCCCTTTTCCGGAACCAGGCAGGGTGATGACTAAGTCTCGCTGGGTAGACCTGGGCGGCTGGCATTCCTGCAAGCTCCCAGGCTGAACCGTGTCTGAAGCAGCTTTTCAGATTCTGGAAGCACCTCCCTGCCGAGGGTAACGGGTACTGTTCTCAGTCAAGTTTAACGTACGCAGGGACCACACACACACACTCAAGTCCAGGGCCTGGGGTCGGAACCACCCAGCTGGTGGCAGGGTAGAACTTAGAATGCAGACTCCTGAGCCCCCCTAATCACCATTTCTAGGGGTGGGGCCTTGGAACTTCTTCATTTTTTGAAAATCTTTGTTGAAAGTATTACATAGCCCCTCCCACCCCCCCAGGCAGCTGCATATATGCAGACAAGTTTCATTGGCTGATCTCTCCCCACCCCCTCCCCTGCCTTCCCTGAGAGGTTGCAGTCTGTTCATGCTTCTGTCCCCGGGGGAATCATTTCTAACAGGATGCTCAGCTGACGTGGAAAACCACTGCTCCCGCCCGCCACACTCATCATCCGGGCTCCAGGAGCCACAGACCCGTCTGCAGGTCAAGGCGACCGGCACAGGAGCCAAGCGGCTGACTGGGGTAGGACTCATCGACTCTAAAGAGATCGACCCTGCAGGAAACTCAAGGAACAAGTTTTTCTGGCCACAAACAATACACTGATTCGTGGTCAAATCTAAAACAAACTCCACCTGGGGAGCGTTAATCTGCGATGGCCCCGCACCCAGGGGCCGCCCCTGGAGCCAGCAGGCGGGTGGCCCGCTGTCGGAGGAGCCGGGGAGCCGCAGCGGCTGTCCAGGGGCCTGAAGCCTCCTTGACATGCCTGCGGCACCTGACGGACCCACCCATGCTTGCTCCTTAAGGGTGGTGGCCGTTTTTAATTTATTGAGGAGAAAACCTCATTTGTTGGTTCACACATTTACTGGTTGATTCTTGGTGGTTCCCCCCCTAGTTTTTTTGAGAGAGAAAGGGAGAAAGTGATGTGAGAGTGTAACGTTAGTCAGCCGCCTCCTGCACGCCCCCCACACGGGGATGGGGCCTGGTGCCGAGTTGGAACTGGCAACCTTTTGGTGTACAGGATGCTCCACCAAACAAGCTACACTGGCCAGGGCTACTGGTTGATTCTTGCGTGTGCCCCGACCACGGATCGAACTCCCCCTGAATGCATCAAGACCACACTCTAACCCGGCGGTCACCAACCTTTCGGACCACCCGTTGGCGCCGGCCGCGCTCACCAGCTGAGCCTCGGCCAGGGAGCTCCTTCAGGGTTTCCATTACAGGAACAATAAACGGGCTCTTGCCTCCTGGCAGCGTCCTGACCATGAGGCAGAGCTGATGAGAAAGCGCCTTGGCTGCCAGCTGCACAGATGTGCTGGACTGTCCTCTTCTGGACACTGTGCACCGCGGACACCCTTCCTCAGAGCTTGCCTGTCGCTCAGCCTTTCCCGAACCCTGGCAACGCCTTTTCGGCACCCGACGTCTGCCGACGCGCCCCGGGTTCCGGGTCTTTGTCAGTGTTCTGCTATGCCTCCCCTCCCCTCTCTACCTTTGCAACACCGAACGCTGTGGTTGTGCCAATCAAGGCGCAGAAGCTCTGATAAACGCCTGAGAAGCCGTCCCCACCACCTGGTTACAAAGCCAGGCTGGAGCCACAGATGTGGTCACTACAGTTGTTTGAACTGCCTTTGAACATGAGACTGCTTTCGCCGAGCGCGAGGCCACCAGGGCCTCCAGGCTCAGAGGCCAGAGCACTGGACCGTGTCAAGGGCCAGGACCACGCAGGTGGCGCTTTTCAAGCTGAACAGATGGCGTTTCCGTAAAGGTGGTCTGAACACAGCCCCGCGCAGCGCCCGTGTCTGAGATAAAATGAGACGGGCTGTGCGTGTGCGAGGGCCTAGCCGCCAGCTGGCCGGGAGCAGCACTTTGAACGCTCAGCGAGAACTGAGCGCTTCAAAGTGCTGGCCCCGGCCCAGGAGGTCTCCCAGGGTGTCACAGCCAACCTGCTGCCAGAGTACACAGCACAGCCAACTCCAAAATGAACACAGAGCCCGTACTTTCACAAAAAGGAAAACAGCCACCACATTTATTTAGTTGAACATTTCTCCTGATCTAAAAAGGAAGATGTGAAAAGAACAGCTAGGACCATACACAGCACACACTCCACCGAACCAGATGACCGAGAAGAGCAAGGGCAAAGTTCTGAGCCGCAGAGAGCTTTATCTTCGCTTCTGGAAGATGTTCCCGCGCCCCATTCCGCGTCCTCTTCCTCTCGCGGCCACTAGAAGGGGGGAGAGAGGACAGCCCGGTCAGCACGGTCAGCGAGCGCGCGCACCAGACCCGCCTGCCAGCCAGCACGCTCGCTCCAGGAGGCTGCCGCAGAGCGCCGCGGGCAGAGGCTGCTTGGGGAGGAGCCTGAGAGCCACATCAGGTGAACCCCCGAGCGGGCCCAGCGCGGCTAATGACACAGGACAGGTGCCCTGAATTCACACTGACATCTGTTAAATCTGGTGAGGGGTTTACCATCCTTGAGCGATTCTGGGAGTGTGAGATGTCTTACAACAGCGGCACAGAAAACAAAGCCTCACAAAGGAGCGGGAGACGTGGTTCTGTGACTGGTCTAGGGGACCAGGCTCCCAGGGGCGGAGAACACTCTGAGGGCTGCTGACCGGAGCCGCACCCTCCCCGCCTACAGGGGTGGAGCTGCCCTGCAGGGGGACGGGAGCCACCTGGGAACCAGCACATGCTCACAGCACCAGGCAAGGGCCGGGGAAAGGCGCAGGTGGCCCGGGAGCTCACTGCCAAACGCCCCTGCTCAGAGCCACCGGCCCCGCCTTCTGCTGGAGATGGAGCAGCCACAGGGACAAGGATAAGGTGACAGGGCCTCACCCCTCACAGGTGGGCCCCAAAGTTCTGGTAAAAGGGTAGCGGTGGGTGAAGATGGCAGGTGTGGGGTAACAGGGCCCTTTCCTAAAAGACAACAAACCCGCACGTAAAGACCAGTGACGGGAGCACCTACCTTGGGCCTTGAGAATAGCAGCCTTCCCCCGGCCGGCGCCCGAGCCTTGGTTTTTGTTTTTCATGCTCTTCAGCATGGGCGCGTTTTTCAGCATGTCAGGCAGGATCAGAAAGCGGATCTTGCTCCCCCGGATGTACACCTGCTCCAGCTGGGCCACGCGGCCGTCCCTGTACGTGACGGTGATGTTGGACATCTGCAAGAGAACCGCGGCGCTCAGCCAGGCAGAGACGACCCGGGCCATCGCACTGTATCTGTGAGTCCGAACAGTTTCCAGGGCGCAACCACTGTCCGTTACACCCTCAGGGCTCAAGCGTCCTATCACCTTCGGCTCCAGGCCCAACGCCCCAGCTCCTTAGCAAAGTCCCAGGTTCTAAGTGCTTGCCGTCTATTCCTGCCTTGGGACACCCTCACCTCTGGGGCCACAAAGGTGGCTGGTTAGATACCTGGCCAAGGTTCACAGCACCAGCCCCTCCTGTGACTCCATCGAAGACAGCCCAGCCCCCACTTGTCAGGGAGGTAACCCTGGCTAAGTCTCCTGGCACCCGGGGCCTCAGCTCCCTCACCTCAAAGCGAGGAAAAATACCCCGTAACAAAGCCGACGTCTGCTCAACACCTGCCCACGTCCCAGGAGGTCACACACCCTGTACGACCTGTCCCGCCACCATCCCCAGTAGAGACGGGGTGGCACAGCCAGCAGAGGCAGAGCTTCCCTAGTCCCCTGCCGGGGCCCACACTGCCCCCGTGTGGCCTGCCGGGGTGTGAACCAGGCCCCTGACTAAATCCACTCTGACATCAGACCCCACACAGGTACTTCCTAGGACCGTTATGTCTAAATGTTTTCCTATTGCCCAGCACATGACAGAGCCTCAGGAAATGACAGCTAAAGTGTCTATTTGGGGGAAGCCGTTGACATTAAAGGGGAAAAAGTCTACTTTGGGGGCTAGGCTGTGAGGTCAGTTGTCCTTCAGCATAAACTGGCGCATCTCATTCCTCTTGTCACAACCTCCCCAATCCGTTTTGCAGACCCCTGACAGGCTGTTGTGTAAGACAAAGACATAAAGGAATTCTCACAGTCCGTGTTCCTGCCGGAGCGAGGAGCCCAGCACATCTGAGACCTATTAGAACCCAGGAACGGCCGCTGTTACCTCCCACTCCCGGGAGCCAGCGGAAATGCCCGGCCGTGCAGAGCCGCAGGGCACTGCCCCACCCTCACTGCTCGTTAAAAAGCCGGAGCCGCATTCCCAGGAGAAGACCAAGCAGTGACTCCGGGAGCTCGGTTTGATGGAAGTGGCAGGAACACCCAGCTGGCTCAACCTTTCCCAACAACCACAACGAGACACAGCTGCACGGCGGCCGGCTCCGGGGAACGGCGGTTTGGAGGGAGGATCTCGCCCAGCGGTCCCCTCGGCTCCCATGCCCCCAACAACTGCAGGAAAACTTGGGAAATAAGCGCCCTTCTGAGGAGCACAGTGACACCTCATGCCCTCTGCTGTCCCACCCCTTTGTTCATACAATTCACACCACACACTGCTCAGCTGCCAGTCCCTCAGCAGCCACTGCTTCTCAGACCAACTGTCATGGCGTTCAATAACCAGTAATCACGGTCTCAAAGCCATTCATAGAACGCTTGTTACAATATGTTGTTAGAACGGTTCTATTTTATCATTAGTTACCAGAGGCTGGATGCCTGAGCCAGAGGACTGGATCTAAGCTGGTGTACCTCACCAAGGCAGAGGAGGCCGAGCCCCCAGGACCTACCCAGAGCCCACACGCCCACCTCCACGGCATCGCCGGTGCCTACCTCCCTGCCCCAGCGGGTCAACCTGCAGGAAGATGATGTCCGCGACCCTGGGATGCAACAAACGGTTGCGATACCTGATCTGACCAGCTGCTGCAGCTCAGTGGCCGAGAGCTGACCTATGACCCAGAATTCATGGTCTCATTTTCCCGGTCAGAGCACAAGCCCAGGTTGCAGGCTTGATCCCCAGTGTGGGGCATGCAGGAGGCAGCGATTGATGATTCTCTCTTATCATGGATGTCTCTCTCCCTCTCTGAAATCAATAAAACATAAAAATAAAATAGAAGTAAAATATATAAAAATATATATAGAAAACACCTGACCCACAGTATGACCTTGGGTAAGACACTTTATCTCACTGACCTTCAGTTTCCTCACCTGGGAAACATTGACCGTCACCATATCTTACATTTATAATGTGCAAGGTGCTGAGCTAACTGCTGCACACACACAACTCATCTGACCTTCAAGACAGCCTGGGGTGGGGGCACCCTTGTGGCGGCCTGGGGAGTACTCTGCTGAGATCTCCCTTCCAAGGAACAGGTTTGTAAGGAACACAGGGAGCTGACCACCTTCGGTTTCCACCTGTGGATCCAGAGAGGCCACTCTCCCCGGCTGCCAGCCAATGCCTGACGCCAGCAAGGGGACCAGAGGCAGGCCACTAGGCCATTTCTGCCCCATGCCGGACTCCTCAGTGTTTTTCCTTCTTAAATGTATTTATTGGTTACAGAAAGGAAGGGAGGGTGAGGGATAAAAACATCAATGATGAGAATCAATTGGCTGCCTCCTGCATGCCCCTTACTGGGAATCAAGCCCGAAACCCGGACATGTGCCCTGACCGGCAATTGAACCGTGACCTCCTAGGTCTACACTTGACCACTGAGCCTTCCTGGCGGGCTAGACTCTTCAGTCTTGGCGTCTGTATCACAGAGGACCAACCCCCCCCCCCCCCATTTTACAGATGGAGAAACTGAGGCAATTAACATGCCTAAGGTAAGGTGACCAGACGTCCTGCTTTTGGTATTAATCTTTCCAAGAATCTGGACTTCTTTAAAACTCCGCGGGACAAATTGTTAAAAATCGGGACTGTCCCATCAAAAGCGAGACGTCTGGTCACCTTAGCCTAAGGTGACCTAAGATTCAAACCAAATTCTGTTTACAAAGTACAAGTTCTTAACCCACGTGATGTTAGCAAAAGCAAACCGGTGCCGGGGAAGGGCCCCCACCAGGAAGCTGCTCGTTACCCGCAGGTGAGTCAGAGGAGCCCTCCACTCGGACGACAAAACTCCCAGACTCACTCACCCCACAGGCAGCTAACCGAGACTCACGCCCCCAAGGAAGACGCAAATGAACACAGAATGCGCCTCGAGGTTCCGTTAACTGCAGAGCGCTCCGCAAACCTGGAGGCAAACGGAGAATGCCCACCCGGGGCGCCAACGAGAGGGAGGGTGCCACTTCTCTTAGGCGGGCCCCGGACCACGGGAGAAAACGGTTGGAAACAAGGAACCAAAGGGCAAAGTTAACTCTCCCAGAATCCCATGGGGCCGATCCCTGCCCACCCCGTGAACCTGCAACACAGCAGGCACTCAGCAAAGCACTGTGCGTGGATCAGCGCGGAGAAGGCCTCCCGCCCCCGCCCGTCTGTCCTCCCCGCCAGGGGGGGGGGGGGGGGGGCACGGCTACCTGGCAGTTCATGTTGTCCTCGGCCTCGATGAGCTTCCCGCGGTACACCTCGCCCGTGTTGGTCTCGCACGTCACGATGTGGCCCTCGGCCTCGTGCAGGACTTTGATGGGCACGCCGATAGACATCTTGGCAGGAAGCGAGCTCTGTGGCGAGACAGACAGGCCGGCTCAGCGCTCCGAGGCCGAGGAGGCAGCGCCCAGGCCTCCCTCGGGGTCCGACACCCCACCTCCCTCCCGGCTACCCTCTACCTCCAGCAAGGAACCAATCCTGCGTGTATCGGGGACAAGGCGGGTGAAACGCATGTACCTTCCAACGGATTCTCCGCCCACAGCTGTGGGTACGGGAACCCGTGACAGAGACCCGAGCTGCCATCACAGCAAGAAGCCGCTGTCTACATGTGGCTATTCAAATCAAACTTAACGAGAATGAAAGGAGGGATGAAACTCAGCCCCTCACTCACACGAGGCACATTTCAAGGGCTCAACAGCCACCTGTGGCTATATGGGCCTCAGGGGCCAGATTATGATCTCTGAACGTATCATAATCTGGCCACTCGGTGCACTTCTCTTGAGCTCCTCGTTTATTTGATATCAGAGATACTATAAATCGTGCACCTGATCAGTTTTCCCCTTTGCACTGACTGACAGAAAGCTCAGGGCAAATAGGTGGCTGATGGCCAGCAAAAGTCTAGAATCCTTTTGGTACCCCCTTGAGATACGAATACACCGAGTGGCCAGGTTATTATGCATTCAGAGATCATCATAATCTGGCCGCTCAGTGTATATGTGCAGTGTTGACCACTGCAGATAAAAACCCATGATGCAGGCATGTCTAGAAGAGGCTGTGCACCGAGTTCAAACCCTCCAATGCCCTCTGACCCAGCTCCCCCCCCCCCACTGCACCATCCAGGCTGAAAAACAAACAGCCGTGCACACCGACTTAACCATGTGCCATAAGCAGGAAACGCTCATCTGGGGAGGAAAAGGCATAATCACAGGGCAAGCGCCTGACGGCTAATGGGAAAGGAACAAAGGGCGGATTTTTTATCTCCGAAATGAGTAACGGCGGAGGGTGGGAACTCATCCAGGGACCCGTGCTGTTGGGAAAGACAACATTAGGAATTTTACCTGGAAGGAAGGAAGGAAGGAAGGAAGGAAGCCAACAAAAAGGCAACAGCCACTGCAAAAGGGAAACGGGTCAGAAGGAGAGACGCGATCAAACGTGTGTGTCCGCGGGGAAGGCCCGAGGGCACCAGGGCCTGAAGGAGGATGGAGGCCCTGGGGCGAGGGCGCCGGAAAAGGATGCAGGGGGTCGAAGCCATCGGCCGGAAAAGGCTTCCAGACTTCGGCCTGCACACTTCGAAGACCACCGGGGCCACAGAGAAAGCGAAGGGCGTGCGCTACATGGACGCCCCTGCAGGCGCTTGGGAGGCGACGCTGATGCTCCGGCGGCCCGACTTCCCGCCCTCCTCCGCCTCCCCGAGCCCCGCAGCGCCCCACGGCGGGGCCTCCTTCTCCTCCCCCGGCCGCCCCCGGGGGCCTCGCCTACTCCCGCCTGCCCCTGGCCTCTCCTCACCGGCTCCGGCCTCCCCTTCCCTCCCGGTGCGGCGGCGGCGGAGACTCAGGAGACTGCGAAAGCGTGAGGCGAGCGAATGGCGGTCCCGCGCTCCCAGAATGCCGCGCGCTCCCGAAACGCCGCGCTGAGCCCGTCCCCTTCCGTTTCCTAGTGGCGCGCGCCGGCGCGCCCTCCTCACCCTGCCGGCTGGGGAACGTGGGCTCGGGCACGATCGTTCCGGCCCCGGAACAGAGAGCTGATGACGGCGGGGGGGGGGCTCGGGGTGGGCTCCGGTGTCGCAGGAAATGTCGACCCTCAGGCCGCCCAGGGGACGGAGGATCGCGTTCCCAAGCACCCCGCACTAGGGGGCGGGCTGCGCTGGAGGCAGGGACTTGGGGCCTGGGCCCTCGGATCCGGGAGGCGTGGGGTTAGATGGAAGGCTAGGATCCCCCCCCCCCAAGTCAATCTTTGGGGCGCCCAGAGCGAGAAGAGGTATTTCGCCGTACAGACAGGGAAGCCGGAATAAAGAGGGAGAGGAGTCGTCCTTGAAGGGACTTGAAATAGGGTTCACGCTCCTGGAGCCCGGCGCCGATTGGGGTAGGACCTAGCTGCGAGCCAATGCGCGCTGAGCGCCAGGACTTCGGGGCGGGACTCACGACAGGGGCGGGCTTCCGGGCGGGGCTTCGAAAGGGGCGGGACTTCCGGTGGCGGCGCGGAGAAGGGCCCGCGCGTCGGCGGGAGGATGGGGAAGGGGTGGGGTCAGCAGACGCCGAGGCTGCGAATGGTCGGGGCGGGCTTCGCCCTGGAGGCGGGCGCCTCTAGCAATGGGAGTCCGGAGCAGGGAAAGGGGGGCCCAGCGCAGGGGCGGGGCGGAGCGAAGGGGCGGAGTCCGCGGGGCCGAGGCCTGGAAGGGGCCGAGGCGGGGCCGGGGGCGGTGCAGCCGCCACCTCCCCTTCTCCTCCGCGTTGGCAGCGGCGGCGGCGGCGGCGGCGGAGGAACCCGACACACACCGGCTCCGCTCCCGCTCCCGCCGAAGCCGAAGCCGAAGCTGCAGCCGGCGCCAGGCCGGGGCCATGGGCGCCCCGCGCCGCCCGGGTCATGAGAACGGAGGCGGAGGCGGCGGGGCCGTCGCTGGAGCCCGGTTAGTGCCTCCCGAGGGCCCGGCCTCACCCCCCGGGGAACGCGGGGAGCCCCGTCCTAGCGCGGGTCAGGGTCTGACCTTGGGCCGCCCGTCGCCTCCCGGAGCAAAACTCGGCCAGGCGTGCAGGCTGCTCGGCCCCCTCCGCCAGCCGCGGTCGCGGGGGCATTCCTGGTCCTCGCAGGCTGGGGTCCCCCGCAGCTCTGATGGCGGTCCTGGCGGGAGGGTTCCCCCCGGGTTGTGAGGCAGGGGGACCCCCTCCCCTCAAAGCGCAAAGTCCTGCTGGAGCCGCCTTGGGAGGTCCGGAGCCCCGGGGGCCCGAGGCCTAGGAGCACCCGGAGCTGCTGAGAGCGAGGAGCCAGGCAGGCCCTCCCGCGGGCCTCAGCTCTGCACCTGGGCTTCCTTCTGCCCCAGGGAGGCCTGGGGGCCCGGGGGGGGGGGGGGCGGACACTCTGCGCCCTGGTTCTCAGCCTGCCTCTCCAAGGAGGGAAGGGAAGAAGGAGCGACCTGCTCAGGGCCGGTACAGAAGCCTGAAGTGAGGGGCCAGCTCGTGGGAAGGTCAAGGGCACGGGGACCTCGGTGTCCCCCCACGCGTGGGGTCAGCATGGGGTGGGGGCTGATGCTGTCCTGGGATTTGCATCCTGCTCCTCTGGCTCACCTTCAGGGGGAGCATCCCCTGGGCAGGCACTGTGCCGAGTTGTGTACATTCAGTGCCTCCTTAATCCTCGCAGTTAATCCGCGCAGCCAGCCACCCGGACGCAGGTACCTTGTTGTTTTCACTTTCACAGACGAGCTGGCCGAGGCCTGGCTCAGAGCTCAGGGCCAGGGAGCTGCTCTCCTGCCTGGGGGCAGCGGCCGGAGGGAGAGGGCTCGGAAGGTCTCGCCTGTCCTTATCACCCCCCACAGGAGCCTCTGTGGGTCCCTGTGGGCAGACCTGCGGGTGCCAAGACTGGGATCGGCCACGTGGGGCCTCGGGGTCAGGGGGCCCCAAAGACCAGGGCAAGAAGAGAAGGGACAGCAGAGGCCAGAGCAGCTGTCCTGAGCACGGACAGACTCCACGCCCAACCAAAGGTGGCCCTGCTAGGCGGTGCCAGCGCCCAGCCCACTGAGCAAGGAGGGAGCCATGCCCAGGGCTGCAGTCTGGAAGCCTGGGCGTGGGGCAGTGGGCATTGCAGTGGCAGGTAGGCTCGGGGCGTCTCCAGGGGTAAGGCCTTTGGGGAAAACACCTTTCGCTCACCAAGCGTGTCTGGGTGCCTGCTCTGGGGGGAGGGCTGGGAGGGGGTACATGCCTCTGTCCCCGCCTGCCAGTGAGATACTGTCCGTCCGTCTGTCCGGTGGGGATGCACCTCAGATACTCCGCCGAGGGCTCAGGGAGGAAAAGGGCCGGAGCTCTTGGACATTTGGAGATGGGAGACAGCACTCCAGACTAAGGGATATGCCAGAGCAGAGCCTGGGAAGTGAGCAGCGCGGGAGTTTGAGGTCACAGGGAGGGGTTCTTGGCTGGGGAGGCACGCCACCCCGAGGGGACAACACCCAGCACAGAGCTCCCTCCACGCAGCCCTGCAGGGAATGATTTTATTTTATTTTATTATTTTTTTTAATTTATATTTTATTGATTTTTTACAGAGAGGAAGGGAGAGAGAGAGAGCTAGAAACGTCGATGAGAGAGAAACATCGACCAGCTGCCTCCTGCACACCCCCTACTGGGGATGTGCCCGCAACCAATGTACATGCCCTTGACCGGAATCGAACCTGAGACCTTTCAGTCTGCAGACCGACGCTCTATCCACTGAGCCACACCGGTTTCGGCCGCAGGGAATTATTTTAGAACTAGAGGCTCAGTTCACGAATTTCAGGGATGGGGCCAGCTGGGAGGGGGAGTGAGGGGAGACCAGGGGCGGGACCAGTCCAGGGGAGGGGTCTCGGGGTTTGGCCAGCCAGCCCTGCCCCTGGTTGAACTCCAGTTGAGGGAGGGGCAATTAGCATATTAGCCTTTTATTATATAGGGTATATGAGTCCTCGGACTCTTAGTCACTATAGTGTCCCTAGAGCCTAGCACAATGGTAGGTGAGACCTTCCGAGGCAATTAAGCAGATGTTTACTGAGTTACCAAGCATCAGACACCGGGCACCGGGAATAACGGGTGAACAAGATTAGCAAATCCTCTGCCCTCAGGAAGCTGACGGTCCAGTGGAGACAGAGTAACTTTATTGTTGTCGTTGTTGTTTGGTTTGTTTGGTTACTTTTTGCTGTGAAGGGGGCCCCCTTCCCCCAAGAGCACAGTCAGAGCCTCTCAGGAGGAGACTGACTGGAAGGACAGCAAGGGAAAGAGAGTTCAAGACAGACAGAGCTGCATGTGCAAAGGCCCCGGGGCGGAGTGAAGCCGGATGGGTTTCCAGGGGAACGGGAACGGGGTGAGTGAAGGGAGAGGGCCACTGTGAGGCTGGTGGGGCTCTGGTAGGGGGGAGAACTTGGTTTTAAGAGCAGTGGGGAGCTCTGGCTTCTGTGTACAGAGGTGGGAGAGGCACTGGAGCTGGAACGTAGGGCAGAGGACCAGGACTGAGCCCCCAGACGGAAGCCATGGCAGCAGCAGCCGGCGGATGTGCGAAGGCGGTGAACGCAGGGCCAGCGGTGCCGTTGGGGAAGGAGGGGGTGAAGGCACGGCCCCGCCGGGGCTGGTGCATCAGGGCCCGTCCCGCTGCACGGAGGGCCGGGCTCAGGCAGCACCTGCGGGGCTTCCCGCACATTCTCGCCCCGAGCGCTCAGCACTTGGCAGGCTGGCGCCTCTGATGGCCCGTGCCGCCGGGAGGGCCGGTGCCTCAGCCGTGCCATGCTGCCTTCCCTGCTGCCCGCCCTGGGAGGGGAGGCGGAGGGAGGGAGACCAGGCACGGTCCCTGCCTCCTGGGAATGCACAGCAGCCCGGGCACAGGCAGGCGCCTGCGAGGCCCCCCAGGCACAGACGGGGTGAGCTGGGGCCTGGTGGGCGCGCAGATAAAGGAGGGCGCGGCCCGGGAAGGCCCAGCCGTGATGGTATCTGTGCTGGGAGGGCCTAGACAGGCGCCTGGGACCCCTCCAGGCAAGGGGCCGGCAGGGCAGAAGGCAGGACTGGGCTCCAGGGCTCGCGAGGGGCCCTTCTGGGGGTGCCCGCGTGGGAGCCAGGCTCCAGGGGCGCGGCACCCGCTGGTTTTGCGTTGGAGAGACCCAGAGCCGCCGAGGTGAGGAGGGTGCGGGCTGGGTGTCTGTGCTGGGCAGGTGCAGTGAGTCAGCAGCAGCTGCGGAGGGAGGCACCTGGTTCTTTAGACTGTGAACTTTGTCCGGATCATGGCACCCAGCAGGGGGCGCTCCGGAGGCCGGCGCCAGCTCGCCCTCCCCACCCTCCACCCCCCGCCCCCTGGGCCTCCGCTTGTGCTGTCCCCTCTCAGACTTGTACTTCTGCTTTTTTAAAATTTCACCCAAGGATATGTTTTCCATTGCTTTCTAGACAGAGTGGAAGGGGAGAGAAGGGGGGGGTTAGGGGGGAAAGAGAAAGAGAAACATTGATTTGGTTGCCTCCCACACGCACCCCTTCTGGGGCTGAGGTAAAGTGCCCTTGACCTCGAATCAAACCCGGGACCCTTCGGTCTGCAAGCCGATGCTCTGACCACTGAGCCGCCGGCCAGGACTGCCTTGTGCTTCTTGACTCTCCATTCTCTCGCCTCCTCTTCCCTGGGGCTTGCTGGTGTTGCTGCCGCCGGGACAGGGACCTGCCACTGCAACATCTCCGATGAACATGCCGGGCACGCACTGGGCCAAGCATGTCAAACCCAAAGGCTGCCACCGGCCAATAAACGAGGCAGGTGGGCCGCGAGTTTGACATGTTGGCACTGGGACGTGCTTGTTGACTGAAGGACTGAATCAGACCAAAGCCCCCCCTGCGGAGTTGCCGGACTCCATCCAGCCAGAGGAAGGCAGTGCTCAGCCCTCCGCCAGCCGGTGGCCACGCTGGGGCCCGTTCACCCCTCCTGCCCGCCTCTGCCCGGCCAGGGCCTCCGGAGGGACGCCCAGCGTAGCCCCAGGCACACGCTCCACGTGACATCCCTTCTCTCAACCGCCGTCTTCACCCCGTGGTGGCCCTGCGGGCTTTGAGGTCGGACAACCCTCCGGGGCCTTGTGAACGTGGACACCAGTGTGTCTAAGCGTCTTCCGTGCGCTGGCCCTGTGGCTGGCCCATCGGAGCTCCCAGAAAAGAGGGCCCAGGGGCGCCTGCGGGGCTGTGAGTGCACGTGGCGGGGGGGCAGGCAGACAGGTCATGTCATGAAGAAGTGACACAGCCCTGGCCGGGTGGTTCAATGGAGCTTCGTCCCATACACCAACAGGTTTCGGGTTCGATTCCCAGTCAGGGCACATACCACGTACAGGAGGCAACCGACCCATGTTTTTTCTCTCTCTCTCAAATGAAAAACAAACATAACCTCAGGTGGGGATTAACAACAACAACAAAAAAAGCAGCAAAGGTAGGAGATTGCTCAGTCACCTGGAGGCCAGGAGAGTCCTCGGCGCAGGCCGGGGGGAGGTGTGCAGAGGCCTGGGCTCAAGGCACCGCTGGCCGGGGAAGGGGCTGCTGGGGAGGCCGTGAGGACACGTGTGTGTGTGTGTGTGGGGGGGGTGAGCAGGAGAGGCTCTGGGGCAGCACAGGAGGCCCTGTCCTAAGCGATGTGGGAATCACCCCCGAGCGTGGGGCTGACCTGCCGGGACGGGTTTGTTCTGGGGAGACGCTCTGTGGTAAGGAGGGAGGGCTGGGAGGCGGGAAGGCTGCAGCAGGCCCCTGGGTCGCTCCGAGGGACACGGCAGGAGCCGATGGCCGTGGCTCCCGGGCGGCAGTGGCAGGGCCGCGCCCGGATCTGTGACCGCCCGTGTCTCCACGCAGGGGACTTCGTGCAGCTGCCCGTGCCCATCATCCAGCAGCTCTACCACTGGGACTGCGGCCTGGCCTGCTCCAGGATGGTGCTGCGGTGAGTGGCAGGCCGAGGCCTCACCCTCCACACCACGCGGGGCGGCCTGGGTGGGGTGCGGCGTCCGCGTGGCCCTCCGTGGCTGGGGCCTGTGGGAGGCTCAGTGCCATCTATAAAAGCAAACGACGGTGGACCCGGCCTCCAGGGCCCCTCTCGGAATGCCGGGGGCGCGGGGTGGCGAGGGGAGTCCTCGGGGCCCAGGGCCTCCCCCTTTCCACCCCCCCACCCGCTCCTGGGAGCCTGTGTGACCTCACTGGGACTGGGGCCATCGGAGCCTGGTGGGACCCTCGCCGTCCCCTGCGCTGCCTCTCCCTCACCCCTCCTCCATCCGGGGAGTCCAGGCAGGAGAGGGTCCCACAAAGGAAGTCTCTGGCCCTCGCTCAGAAAGCCGGTGGCGTGGTCCACGCCCCTCAGCGCAGAGGGGCGCTAGTGAGGCCAGCGAGGGCGTGACGTGCCCAGGGGCACAGCCCACAGCGACGCGAGAAGCGGGAGCGCGGCGTCCAGGCCGCTTCGGGCGGTGGCCAGGCCGTGTGGGCGGGACATGAGGCCTCGGGACACAGGACGGAGCCTCCTGGGCGTGGGAGCTCTGTCGGCCGACGGGCCGCAGGGGAGCCGGAGGGCGAGCCAGCCTCAGCGGCCGGTCCGCCCGCAGGTACCTGGGCCAGCTGGACGACGGTGAGTTCGAGTGCGCCCTGCAGGAGCTGCGGCTGACCCGCAGCATCTGGACCATCGACCTGGCCTACCTGATGCGCCGCTTCGGGGTGCGGCACCGCTTCTGCACGCAGACGCTGGGCGTGGACAAGGGCTACAAGAACCAGGTGAGCCCGGCGACTCGCCGCTGACCCCCCCCCCCTTCCTCTCTGAAACCAGTGCATGTACTTTAAAAGCGGCGGCGGCCTGGCCTGCCTGGCTCTGAGGCTGAGCATAGAGGTTCAATTCCTGGTCAGGGCACAGGCCCGGGTGGTGAGCTCGCTCGGTCCCCAGCGTGGCGTGAGCATGAGGCTGCCCATCAGTGATTCCCTGAGACTTGGCAGGCGGCGCCGCCGCTGGCCTCTTGGCAAGCTCGCGGCTGCCGGTGGCCAGGCCATCGACCTTGTTCTCCCGGAACCTCCCGGGCCAGCAGAGGCTCCCGCGTCTGGCTTGGTCACCGCGGCTGCGAGGCGGAGCCAGGGGCCCAGGAACAGGCACGATCGCCTCCTTCCCCGGGGGCTCTGGCCCCTTAAGTCCCTGTGAAGCCAAGGGCGTCCCGTGGCTGCCCCGGCGGAGCAGAGCGGGGCTCAGACTCCTGCCCGTGCCCACCAGGGCTGACTGACCCCCCTCGGGGCCGCTCCGCCCGCTGCCCACGCCGCCTGTGCCCTCTGCCCTCACCTGCCCCTCTCCGCAGTCCTTCTACAGGAAGCACTTCGACTCGGAGGAGACTCGGGTCAACCAGCTGTTCGCACAGGCCCAGGCCTGCAAGGTGCTGGTGGAGAAATGGTGAGCCTCCGCCTCTGCACCTGTCACCGTAGCCTTGCCTGGGGGCGGGAGGCCTGGGGGTGGGGTGAGAAAGGCCAGGGCGTGGGGAGTCAGGCAGACAGGGGTGTCCTGCCCGCGTGCTGTGGGCACCGACTTATCCCCCGAGCCTTTGTGTTTTCCGCATGAGAAGGGGACGGGGTGGGGGGTGTTGGCCGGGGGGACACAGCCCAGCGAGGAGGGAGGCCTGGCTCCCAGCTCTCCCCACATCTCCGTGACCTACCCGGGCTCCCCTTCTCATCTGGACGGGGCAGGGGCTAGGCAGACCCTGGGAGGCCCTTGTCCAGATGTGAGCGCCGATTCCCACTCGCCACAGGCTCAGCTCGGGCCTGTGGCCCAGGTCCCAGCGCGGCCCCTCCCAGACGGCTCTCCCCAGTCCCCGTCCTCTCCATTCCTGTGCCCGTTATGGACGGGAGGGGGCCTGACCCCACCCCGTGAAGGCCCGATGCGGCCGGCCTGTTCTTGGGCACACACAGAGCCCCCTCCTTGGCCTTGGACTGACCCGGGCCCCAGTCACAAAGCGGGGAGCCCGGGGCGGGGGAGGAGCCTGCCCCCGGGCCGGGTGACGCGGGGCCCGGTGCCCGCCGAGTGACCGCTGACCCCGCCCGCCAGCACGGTGAGCGTGCAGGACATCCAGGCGCACCTGGCGCAGGGCCACGTGGCCATCGTGCTGGTGAACTCGGGGGTGCTGCACTGCGAGCTGTGCTCCAGCCCCGTCAAGTACTGCTGCTTCGCGCCCCGCGGCCACCGCTGCTTCTGCCGCGCGCCCGGCTACCAGGGCCACTTCATCGTGCTGCGCGGCTACAGCCGGGCCACCGGCTCCATCTTCTACAACAACCCGGCCTACGCCGACCGTGAGTGCGGGGCAGCGGGCGGCGCCGGGTGCGCGGCCCTCCCTCACGCCTGGACCCTCGCCTCCCTCCCCGCCCTCCCCACCCCGCTCCTCCTGGGCCCTGTCCTCTGTGCCACCCCGCAGGCCTGGCCGTCTCCCTCCCACACCTCCCGCCCCACCCCCAGCCCTGAGGGGACGTCCGCACGCTGCCCAGCTCCTCTGAGCACCCGCCCGGCTCCCCCCTGCGCCGGGCGGGAAGGGCCGCCCTGGCTCACAGACGTGCCCGTTGCTGCCCTCTCTGGGCCTCACGTATCTGCTGACCTGGGCAGGGGGCGGGGGGCAGCTCCTGGGCCACAGTAGCAAGGGGGGCCTCTGGGTGGGACACTTGTGTGCAAGGAGCGACGGGGAGGGGGCACGGCGGCTCACCCTGTTCCCCGGGTGCCGGGAGCCGGTGCCCGCCCCACTGCTGACCGCCGGCCCCCTCCCGGCAGGGATGTGCAGCACCAGCGTCAGCAACTTCGAGGAGGCCAGGACCAGCTACGGCACGGACGAGGACATCCTCTTTGTGTACGTGGACAGCTGACGGCGGGCCGGGCGCCAGGCCTGCCCACCCCACCCCGGAGGCCTCCCGGCCCGGCTGCGGGGGCCGCAGCCCATGTGACAAAGCCCCCGGGGATTCTGGGAGGTCACAGCACACCTGATCACCTGATTCATCCACCAGTGGCGAGGGCCATCGTGCCACTCACCCCGCACACCGCTGGGTGCTGGAGACACCCCCAGAGCTGAGCGGAGCCCCCCAGCACCCCAGCCTGACTCGGACTGCCCAGGGCACCCAGCTCCGAGGGTGTCCCTGCTGCCTGCAAGCCGATCCGGGCCGGGGGAGCGGCCGGGGCCCGTCTCCCCTCGAGAGAGGTCGCTTGTCAGGACAGCATGTGTGTGTAGAGCTGGGAGCGGCCCTGCCCTTCTCCCTGGGGGCCTGTGGGGCCCCAGCCCCATGGTGGAGGCGCCTGGGAGGCTGGGCCTCTCGCGGGCCCACAGTGCAGTGCGCTCAGCTCCTGCCGCTGGCCTGCTCCCCACAGCGGGCCGTCCTCTGAGAACGGGGAGCCCCACGTCTCGCAGGGCTGGGTGCTGGGCTCCCCACTCTGGTGTTCACGCCACGACCTTTGGCACAGAATGCCGGCTCTCCGGCCTGGGTGAGAAGCGTGCCCGCCAGGTCACGCGGCGCAGGTGGCACGGGCAGACCTGTGGCCTTTCTTTCTTTGGGGGAGGGGGCGGGGCCTTTGAGATTTACGTCTTCACTTCCGGGTGAGACTCCCCTCGGGATGCTCACCGTGAGACTGCAGGTACTTGGAACACGGACACCTCTCCAGGGCCAGACGCCCGGTCAGCTCCGTCCCCCGAGAGGAGCCCCGCTGTCCGAGCAGGGCCCTCGCCTGCAGGCAGAGCCCGCTCCGTCAGGGAGCGTTTGCCCGGACACTGAGGTGAGCTGGGTTTGAACCCAGTCTGCGCCTGAGAAATAAGGGAAGTGCATCCTGCCCACAGAGGCCAGGGGCGCACCCATCCCGAGGGGCTGCCTCTGGCGAGGGGGCAGAGGTGCCTACAGCCCTGAGTCTTTGTCTCCGGGTGCCCAAGGCTGCTCCCCGCCCACCAGCGGCCCCTCCCCACTGGGCCTTGTTTTAGGGCTGGCAGACTCACCAGCTTGCTCCTCAGCACCAGTGTGGTCTTCAGATGGTCTCTGTTGCCTTAGGGCTGCGTGGCCGGGCCCCGGGGTGCCTGGCTCCATGCCCAGGACGCCACGGGTGCTGCGTGGGGTGGGCGTCTCAGGAGGGTGCGGGGAAACTGGCGAGGACAGAGCATCCTGGGAAACGGGCAGTGCCACTCTCAGGGTGGCCGAGGGAGGGAGGGAGGGCGGGGGGGAGGCAGGGAGTGCTGGTGGGCGATGAGAGGGTGCTCCGTCCCTGGCCGTGGATGATGGCTGCCCCGAGGCTCCGTCTTCCCAGGGAAGGTGAGGGGGGAGGGGAAGGGATGCGAACCATGTGCCATTGTATTATATAATGAGAAATCATGAAGATGGGCCGAGAAGAGGCCTGTCTGCCTACAGACCGACCCCCTGTCCACAGCTGGGGCCCAGCACAGCCCCCAGCACCAGGGACAGGTGGCTCTGTCCACTCCAGCCACGGGGGGACAAAGGGACCTTTTGCATTGCGGAGATTTTGTACACAAATCTATTTTGTCTGTAACGAGCCATTCTCAATAAACATTTCTCACTGCAGCGTGGCTGCCCCGGGCCCCTCAGTGGTTCTGTCTCCGGGCGTCACGTGGGAACCCGGGTCCCTGGCCTGCCATCCGGTGTTGCTGGGTCCGGGAACTGTGTCTACAGCTGAGCGTGTCACAGACAAGGTGCTGTCCTCGCAGCCAGGGGCCAGAGGGCCGCGCCCCATCAGGAGGGCCCGCACGCGTTCCCAGGCTCGTGGGTGTCCCCGCGTTTGCTCCCGGTGGGAGGTTAGAGTTTAGCACGTGCCCTTTCGCCCTGCGACGTCCCAGGCTTGCACTGTGTAGGTGACGTCGCCTTGGCCAGTCTGAAGCCTCAGCCCCCGTGCTGACAGCAGTGCGCACCCTCCCGCAGCAGCGGGACGGACAGGCCCCCAGTGTGCAGTCTCCCCAGCAGCCACGGATCTGCTCCTGCCTCCCTCCGCCGCTGCCACCCCAGGAGGAGGCCTGGCACCTCCCGGGACCTGGGGGCAGAGGCAGCATGGCCTCCCTGGGCATCCTGCTTGGCCCTTTCAGATCGGCTCGCCCGCAGGCCGGCACCCTCTGAGCAGGACCCAGCCACAGCGGCACCAGGAGCTGCCCAGCAAGCTGTGGCCACTCTGCCCTTTGGGGCCCACCGTCCAGTGGCCCCGTGAAGCCATGCCGTCTCCGTGCTGATGCCCGAGCCAGCGGGGCCTCCAGCAAAGGGCAGCAGATGCACTGAGGGGCCCCTGGAGCTCCGGACGCCCTGTTCCCTGACGGTCACAGCTGTGCCCCTGGGGAAAGGCTTACCGCTGGGCTCTGCAGCTGAGCACCTAACCTGAGAGCCTGGCTCGTGCAAGGTAAATGGTACCTCAGAGCCCGGCTGGCGTGCTGACCTAGGAACCAGGAGGTCACGGTTAAGATTCCCGGTCAGGACACAGGCCCGGGTTGTGGACTCGATCCCCAGTGGGGGGCGTGCAGGAGGCAGCTGATCCATGACACTCACTCTCATCACTGATGTTTCTCTCCCTCTCCTCTCTGAAATCAATTTATATATATATATATATATATATATATATATATATATATATATATATATATATATAAAATATATATAAAGAAAATGATACTTTGGAGATTGGAGAACAGCTGGCCGGGCTCAGGCAACACCTCAGCCCCCCTTCTCCCCCCTCCCCCAATACCTGGCCTGGCTCACCGAGGGGCTAACTACACGGGAAGCCGGGAAGCCATGGGTCCCTGGGTGGGTGCTGTTCACCTCAGCAGCTCCGCCCAGAACTGACACCGGATGAGTCTGTCAGTAGGTGGCGCTCGCGGGCAGCCTCGCAGCTCTGGCCAGGCCCCGCCGGGAAACCGGGGTGTTTTCACAGACCTTGGGCTGCAGCCAGTGGCCTCATTTTTTGGGTTGCGGGCCCCGTTTAGAAAACCTCAAGCCGGCAGATGAAAGACCCCCCCTCTCGGGCCCTCGGGCGGCGGAAACCAGTGTGGCTGCCATGGCCTGGCTGCAGGCTCTGTCCGGTGCCCAGAGAGCCTGTTCTCTGCAGAGACCAAAGGGACCAGGTTGCTGACTGCACACCCCCCCCCCCATTGCCACCTGGGTCCTTCTGCTGGGCCTGGGCACCCCCACTGTGGACCGAGCACAGCGGAGCACACTTCCTGCGGCAGAGGGAGCACACTTCCTGCGGCAGAGGCCAGCTCGTTCACGAGGGTTACGGGATTGGTCCGGCCTGCCTGGCCACCCTGAGGGCAGGGGTGAGGCTGGTACCGCAGGGCGGGCTTGCTGTGCCCTCTGAAGCGCTGTGTGCGAAACCTATTCCACGCAGTGATGATCCGGCCCAGGCCAGGCTGGTCAGGGGAGGGGTGACTCCTGGGGAAGCTGCCGGAAGCCCGGATGGTGTAGAAGCGAGGGGTGGGGGTGTCCGGAGTCCCTGCTGTGGGTCTCTCGCATGTGTCACACATCTGGGTGACCTGTGGGCTCAGACTACACCCGTGGAGCCACCTGGGGGACAGAGCTGGGGCCCCCTGTGGGGCAGGCTGTGTTCTTGCAGCCTCGGTGGCAGAGACAGGTCTGCCTTGAGCGTTCAGGGGCCCAACTCCGTTCTTGTTCAAGGTTGTTCTGGCTACGCGGGGTCCCATGGGGCGCCATATGGATTCTAGGATGGTCTTTTCTATTTCTGTAAAAAAACGCCGTTGGTGTTTGCTAGGGATCGCGTGGAATCTGTACGTTGCTTAGGGCAATAGCGACATCCATGAACACTGGCGGTCTTTCCGTTTACTTACATCCTCCTCTCATTCTCTCCGAGGTGCTGTCTAGTTCTCACTGTCCACGGCTTTTGCTCCCTTGGTTAATTCCCAAGTGTTTTTATTCCTTCTGATGCTACTGTAAGTGAGGTTGCTTTCTTAATCTCCTTTTCAGATGGTTTCCCGTTAGCGTATAGAAAGGCACGTGACCTGTGTGCTGACGCCGTATCCCGCCGTCTGGTGGGACTCCCTGATGAGTTCTGGTCCTGCCGGGATCTGGTCCCGCCGGGGTCCAGCGGAGAAGCAGAAACAGCAGACGGTGCATTGAGAGGTTTATTGCAAGGCACTGACTTGGGTCGCTATGGGGCTGCACAGAGAAGTCGGACATTCAGAGAACCTGACGCCTCAGCAGGACTTTCCCGTCGGGGGCTCTGCTCACGGGGCCTTCTGGTGGCTGAATCGGGCTGCCAGGGCCATGGAAGGCCACCCCACTCGCTCGGTTAACAGTCAAACCTACACAACACCTTCACGGCAACGCCCGGGCCGTGTCTGATGAAATAGCGAGACTGCAGCCGAACTGACCTGACCCGTACGATGGCCTCCGCCCGCCTGCCAGGGCCATCCGGGGACTCCGGGCCGGCCTCGCCCTCTCCCCTGGTGCACACACGCCCTCGCTGACCCTGCAGCGGCTGACAGTCTACACGGAGAAGTGGGGGACCTCGGGCCGGGGCAGCCCAGCTGTCTAGCCTCAGAGCAACCCGCACAGCCAGTGCCCGGGATCTGTGTACACAGAGGTCAAAGTCACAGACCAGAAAATTAACCAGGTTAAAGCGCGCAGTCCCATCCCCTCAGAAGGAAAGCTGTCCCCATTGCGCAGTCGCCCCTCATTCTACCCTCCCCACCGGGACGTGTAGGGCTGGGTGTGGACAGCAACGCTATCAGGGCATCATCAAGAAGAATGGCTGCGGGCACAGGCGCCCTCCGGGGCAGGCGGGGCTGCGGGCAGTCACTCTCGCACGACGTGGGGGCGGTAGTCGGGCTTGACGGCCTCCGCCAGCTCCCGCGCGTACATGTCGTATCTGCCCGTCATCTGCAAGCAAAGCGGGAGCCTCAGAGGTGCCCGTTATACATGCCCTCGCACGCGCCACCAGCTCCCGCCACTAGAGGGCAGCAGGGGCCAGGAATGCCTCCGCAGGACCATCGAGCTCAGATTGTGAGAGACAACCAGTCTGATCTCCAGGCACGGACTCCGGGGCTAAGGTGAAGGTCCCCGATGCCAACGTGACTCACATCCCCCGGGCCCTCCTTCCTGTTCATCCAGGAGCTGTGACCGGCGTGAGGCCGGAGGGGGGACGGCCCTGTGGCCCTGCAGACCCCAGGGAGCAGTCCACAGCCAGGAGCCATGCCTTGTCTGTCTGCCGAGGCTCTGAGACCCAGGTCAGGCCAACGGGAGCCCTCGTCTGGCTGGACCCAGAGCCCTGCTCCCTCCTGGACACGTGGGCAGCCATTCAGGCATGACAATGGCACAGTCACTGGCACGTATGATCTGCCCACAATTGGGTGCTGAGTCGGTGCAAACACTGCCCGGCGCTGACTCAGCGATCTCCGTGTGCGCCGTGGTGACATGCCACCCTCCGCGGGGCCCCACCCACGGCTGCCACTGCCCCCTGCCCGGGGCGGGAGGCAGCTACGTGCCTCTCCTGATCGCTGGGGTTACAGGTATTAGGTGTCCAGAGCTGCTCGGGGCACACACGTGAAGCCCCTCATGTTACACACGGAAGCACCAGGCCCGGGACAGGGGGGACTGCAGCGACCAAGCGAGGACGTGGCCAAGCCCGGCCTGGACTCCCTTTCTCTCCTCGGCCCGCTTCCCTCCCTGCCCAGGCCTGGACCGAGGGGCCTGGCCCCGGCAGAGCAGATGCACGCGTCCATCTGTGGTGGAGGAGCCCGTCCATGCTATTCTCCAGCCAATTACATTGAGACTAACTCATCCCCGGCGCCCGGAATCTGAATCCGATGAGAGGAGGCTGCTCCGTGTGAACAAACAGCCCCCCTCCCCCCCAGGCTGTCCCCGAGGGCCACCGGCCGCTGCGGTGCTCAGGCCGGGAGCAGGCCGGGGCCCAGGCGGGGACGCGGGGCCCACCTTGAAGTTCCAGACATCGTTCACCTGCCGGCACAGGTTGAGGTTGAGCTCGGCCACCAGCAGCCCGTCCCGGGTGCGGGAGAGGCCGGGCGTGCGGCTGCTGTCCGGGGCGGCCACGTAGCTGGAGCCGTAGAAGTAGCCGAAGTCCTTGTGAGCTGGAAGGAGCGGGCAGCGCGTGAGCTTCCGGGCAGACAGCGGGCAGGCCCGTGGAGGGACCCCGGGCCCAGGGCCCACGCCCTCCCCAGCTCTGCCAGCGCCCAGGCCCCAGGACCTGCCCCCGCCCCACTGCGGCCTCGAGGGGGGGGGCTTTCCTGGAAACTAACCCACGTGACCACCTCAGGCTTCCCGGGGCACAGCCTGGGCCTCCCGGGGGACCCTCCCAGGACCCTCCTCAGTGAGGGGCCTCGCCCCCCATTCCTGGCCGGGCAGAGGGACCGGAGGAGGGGCTCCTAGCAGAGATACGGTGTGGGTTCCAGGACCCCAAGGCCATCCTCCCAGTGCCTGCTCGGCTCAGGGCGGGGTGGGCGGACAGGGACAGAGGAGAGGAAGTGGGGTCTGGGCACCCCAGTCCCGGGGGAGGGAAGGATGGAGTCCAATCCAGCCCTCTGATCCCTCCCCCCTCGGGAAGGAGCGGTCACAAGCCCAGGACAGGTGGCCCATCCCCGGCACACACCGCCCGCTGTGGGGAGGGAGCCGAGGGCGCAGAGCGGGAGAAGCGAGCCCCTTTCCCCGCCCGCTGCCGCCGCGTGGAGGGGGACAGGTACCTTTCTTCCCGTCTCCGGAGGTGAACTCGTTGGGGAAGTCCTCCTGCGGACAAAGGCGCGTGAGCGTGAGCGTGAGCAGCCCGTAGGTGGGTGAGGGTGAGCGTGAGCGGCCCGTAGGTGGGTGAGGGTGAGAGGCCCGTAGGTGGGTGAGCGGCCTGTAGGTGGGTGAGCGGCCCGTAGGTGGGTGAGGGTGAGCGTGAGCGGCCCATAGGTGGGTGAGCGGCCGTAGTCGTCCAGGCAGGTAACAGGCAGGCAGCTTCCCCTCCAGGCCGGGACCCCAGGCGCACGGAGAGGGGAGGGAGGAGAGGGCGCACCCCTTCCCTGCAGGCTCCGTCCCCTCCCGCGCCCCGCGCCCCGCGGGCCTCACCTTGCCCACGCGGTTGATGGCGCAGGTGAAGCAGTGGTTGGCGATGGCCGCGTTCCTGGCCTCGATGGGCCACATGGACTCGCTGGGAGAGAAGAACGAGAGGAACAGGTGCCGCCTTCCCGGCCTTTGTGTGTGTGTGTGTGGGGGGGGGGGGGCAGGGAGGCATGGGGACAGCCAGGAAGACTGGCTGTGACTGTGGGTGGCCCGTGCTCAGGCCCGGCCGCCCTGGGAGGCCGGCTGCAGGGGAGCAGCCCTGGGTCAGACCTCGCCATGAGCCCCGCCTCCTTTTCTGAAAGCCTGAAGGGAGACGGATCAGAGAACGCCCTGCAGGTGAAGCTTCCAGAGCCGCAGGATCCACACCTGCTACCTCTCCACCCTCCCGCCTCCCTGCGGAGAGGAGTCCGCCCCCCGGGCTGGCAAAGTCTCACCTGGAAAACCGGGCTCCTGCCAAGGCCCTCCCCCCACCTCCCACCCCCGTCCCGCTGGCGAGCAGCCCCCCAGGGAGGCGCCCAGGCCCAGCAGGGACCCCGAGGGCGCGTGGGCCAGAGGGTGGGACCTGCAGCAGGTGTCACCTCCCCTTTGCCGGGGCCCCTCTCCGGTTTCCTCTTCCGAACCCCAAGTCTCTAAGCAGAGGTTCCGGCTCTCTCTGTGGCACCTGCCCGGGGAGGGCACGTGGCCCCACGAGACCCGTCCTCCTCCGGCATCAACTACAGTGAGCCACGAGCTCAGTGGGCCTGCTGGTCCCTGATACCCTTTTTTTTTTTTCTTTTTAAAAAAATATATTGTTACTGATGTCAGAGAGGAAGGGGGAGAGAGAGAAGCATCCATGATGAGAGGGAATCACCGACCAGCTGCCTCCTGCAGGCCCCACGCTGGGGATGGAGCCCGCAACCCAGGCCCGTTCCCTTGGAGGGAATCGAACCCATGACCTTCTGGTTCCTGGGTCAACGCTCAAGCCCTGAGCCCCGCCGGCCGCTGATGATCTCCTGAGAGCATCCCCGAGGCTCAGGCTGGAAAGACGGAGCGCCTGGAGCTGGGCGCCGGGAACGGGCGCGCACCTGGCTTCCCGGGGAGGGGGCGGGGGGGCGGGCCGCGCCAGCCTCGTGCTCGGGAGGACTCACGCGTCGGGCGAGCAGCAATCACGGGCTTGATTGAGGGGCCTCATGTGGCCGCCTCTCCCCAGCTGCCGCGCGGAGCTGACAGAACTCTGAAGAAAGGGTTTTTACAGAAACACGCCCGCCGGTGACATTTGCCGGGAGGGAACAGACAGGCGCAGGGCGAGCGGCAGAAAACATCTCCCCTGCGATTCCCCGGGGAGGGCGTGTGCGTGGGACTCGGGCCCACAGCTGGCGGCAGGCTCGGGCTCCCAGGACGAGGGAGGGAGAGGAAGGGGGAGAGGGAGGAGTGCGTGAGAGCCCAGCACGTGCGGGAGTCACACGGAGCCCAGCGGGCCGCGGGGACATCTGCCGTATTCCCAGAAGCCCCTAAAAATACTCGGGGGGGCGGGGAGGCGGCTTCCTGATGGACCCACGTGTGTGGCAGAGCGTCGACCACCCGGGCTGCGTGTGACCGTCAGGGTGACCCTGTTCATCAGAAAAGCACGTCAAGCCCTGGCCGGTGTGGCTCAGTGGATAGAGTGTTGGCCTGGGAACCAAAGGGTCCCCGGTTCGATTCCGGTCAAGGGCATGTATTTCCGGTTGCAGGCTCCTCCCTGGTCTGGGCCCTGGTTGTGGCGCATGCAGGAGGCAACCCATCGATGTGTCTCTCACATGGAAGTTTTTCTCTGTCTCTCCCTCTCCCATCCTCCTCTGCAGTCAGAGGGAAAACAACAAAGAAGAAAACGCTTTGCCGTTAAAAACATGGCTCAGAGCCCCGGTGGGGGTTAAGGACCCTCCGCTCCGGCTCCCTCCCTTGCTCTGTGCTGCTGGCAAGAGGCGAGGCATCTGGGGGCCCTGCCCCCAGCACAGGGGCTGCGGCAGGGGAGCTGCTCTGGCACTGAGGAGGCTGAGAGTCCTGACCACTGGGGTGAGTGGGTCCCCGTCACCTCCAGATTCAGAACCGCACAGAGCACCACTCGGGGCCGCCCGAACAGGCGGCGCCCGGTGTGCGTTTTATGTCCCACCCAGGCCCAACCTGAGCCTGGGCCTGGGTGGGACATAAACACCCAGGCCCAGGCTCAGGCTGATTAGGCGTCCTGCTGGTGGCACCTGCCTGTTCCCAAGCCACCTCCGAGGACCCTCCCTCTGCCTGCTGGCTGGAAACCTAAGTGCCCCCCAGCCCTCCTGCTGCTCACTGCCCGCTGCCCAGGAGCCTGAGCACCCCCAGCCCTCCCGCTGCCTGCTGCCCGCTGCCCGCTGTGGGAACTTGAGCACCCCCAGCCCTCCCACTGCCCGCTGCCCACTGCCCGCTGCCCACTGCCCGCTGCCCACTGCCCGCTGCCCACTGCGGGAACCTGAGCGCCCCCAGCCCTCCCGCTGCCCGCTGCCCACTGCCCGCTGCCCACTGCGGGAACTTGAGCGCCCCCAGCCCTCCCGCTGCCCGCTGCCCGCTGCGGGTACCTGAGCGCCCCAATGGTGGCCGAGGGGTTGAAGATGATGTCAGCGCCGTTGACGCTGTACAGGAGCCAGTTGAGGGGGTGGTGCCGCCCATAGCAGATGTTCACGGCGATCCTGCCGAACTGCGTGTGGAACACAGGGTGGCCCAGGTTCCCCTCCATGTAGTAGGTGGACTGGAAGACAGAGGCCCGGGTAAATCTTTCTCCTCTCAGAGGGGGACACATCCATCGCTGCCTCCCGCACGCACCCCGGCCGGGGATCGAGCCCACGGCCTGCGCGTGTGCCCTGGCTGGGCATCCAACCGTCAGCCTCTTGATCCATGGGACGATGCTCCAACCAGCCGGCCACACCAGCCAGGGCCAGGGCCAGGGCCAGATGCCTGTGAGCGAGGAGGGCTCCCTGTCCTTAGACTGGGCAGGAAAAAAATATGGCCCGTGCTCCAAAAGTGACCCTCGGGGTATGCTGTCCTTTAAGTTGGAAATTCCAATGTCCTACAAACCAAACACAGAGAACCCCAGACATAATAGCAACCAGCCAACCCTAGGGGACATCCCCGAGGCTCCACATTCACAGCAGCTTCGATTCCGGTCACCGTACAAGGAGAGGCTGAGGACTGGTCAGGGTCCTCACCAGTCACATGTCCCTATAAAGGTTAGAGTCCGGCCAGTGTGGCCCAGTGGTTAAGCAATGACCTAGGAACCAGGAGGTCATGGTTCGATTCCCAGTCAGGGCACAGGCCCGGGTTTCGAGTTCCATCTCCAGTGTGGGGCGTGCAAGAGGCAGCCGATGCATGATTCTCTCATCACTGATGTTTCTCTCTCTCTCTCTCCCTTTCTGAAATCAATAAAAATATATTTAAAAAAAAATAAAGAAGTTTAGAGCAGAAGGGACCAGAGCTCACCAAGAGCACCCCGCCCGCCCGCCTGGGGGAAGGCGGGAGCCTCAGCGGGCAGGTGACCTGCCAGCTCTCGAAGGCACTCTGAGCCTGGCACTCCCTCCCCGAGTCCCCTTGTCCCCGCCAATCCCTGGGCACCGGCAGGCTGAGGGGATCCCCACAGCCAGACAGCGGAGGCCATGCTGCCGTCCCTCCCCCTCCCTGGGGTGCTGGCCCTGGGACGCTGTCATGGGGGGCAGAGGGAGTGCGGGCTCTAAGCCAACCTGCCCGGGGCATTTCGCTCCCTCCCCTTCATTTCAGCACGCAGCGGGGGCAGCCACCGGGGCGTGCCCACGGGTGGACGCCGACGCCCGTCCCGGGAGCTAACGATTAATCCAGGGTAAACAGGCCGGGCACATCTCCCCGCCCGGCCAGCTGTCACCGAGCGACGCCGAGCCTGCCCTCTCCCGGGGACCCGCCTCCTCTGCCAGCCCAGCCGAGAGCGGCCGGACCCCCGCGGGCAGGGAGGGTCGCGGTGCACGGAGGCAGCTACCACCGGAACGAACGGGGGCTCAGACTTCAGATCTTGGGTTCTGGTGGAGTTCATGTCCCTCCTTCCTAGGCCCACGCTCCATCCCACCAACCACAGACTAGCACTCACCCATCGAAATGGCTCCCGATCGCAGGCACGAGGCGGCGCCTGACCCGCGTGCGGACACGCACTTGGCTGCCTGATGTCACCCGCACGTGGCCGTGGCTCTCTCGTTCCCGCGTGAGCAGACAAGGCCCCGCCCGCCTGCCACACAAGGGCAGCCGGAGGAAGGCGAGGAGCTCCCGGCCTGCCAGCGGCCGCAGGGACATGATTGCTTTTGGTTTAATTTACATACTACTTCCCTCGAAGGAGAATTTCAGGAACCAGAGCAGGTGGTATTACAAAAACGAAAAAGGCTGAAATCGGGTTTGTCTCATTGGATAGAGCGTCGGCCTGCAGACTGAAAGGTGCCGGGTTCGATTCCCGTCAAGGGCATGTGCCTTGGTTGCGGGCACATCCTCAGTAGGAGGTGTGAAGGAGGCAACTGGTTGATGTTTCTCTCTCATCGATGTTTCTAGCTCTCTATCTCTCTCCCTTCCTCTCTGTAAAAAAATCAATAAAAATATATTAATAATAAAAAAAAACAATAAAAAGCCTCTGTGCTAAAGGGGTTTTGGACTCTCACAGAAGTTCCCCCACTCCCGAATCCTACGCACTCAGGTGACGCAGGGCTATATGGACCCCTCACCTCCCCACCCCAGCCCTGCAGCCCCACTGTGCGCCAGCGTCACATGATGTGACGTGACCTGGCGCAGAACGCCAGGACAGAAAGGCCCCCTGAGCAGGACGAGGGAGAGCGAGCCCGGGGCCGGCGGTCGGGCGGCTCACCTCGTTGAAGTCGCCCACCCTGGGGATGTGGTTCTTCCTGCTCTTGCCCAGGACGGCGCCCGAGTTGGAGATGACGACCGCCGTGTTCCACAGCACGTCCCCGTGGGCCGCGTCCCGCTCCAGCATCGGGGACACCACCACCATGTTGTGCTTCTTCGCCAGCTGGGAAAACAGAGACGGGCTGCGTCCGTGGGAACCGAGTTTCAGATCGGCGAGATGGGATAGCTCCGGAGCATGGGGAGTGTGTATGTTGAGCTGGACACTTACATAGGATTAAGATGGTAAATTCCATGCTGTGTTTTTAATAATAGAAAATTAAAGAATAAGCACTTTACTTCGTAGAGATATTCATAGAAAGGCTCCGATACGGAATTCCTTTGTCTCAAATAAGAGCATCATCAGGACCTGGGGACCGGTGGGATGAACAGCCCCAGCCAATCATTTGTCTCCTACTCTAACTAGCCAATCATTTACCTTAGACTCTAACTAGCCAATCATTTATCTTAGACTCTAACTAGCCAATCATTTACCTTAGACTCTAACTAGCCAATCATTTACCTTAGACTCTAACTAGCCAATCATTTATCTTAGACTCTAACTAGCCAGTCATTTACCTTAGACTCTAACTAGCCAATCATTTACCTTAGACTCTAACTAGCCAATCATTTGTCTCCTACTCTAACTAGCCAATCATTTACCTTAGACTCTAACTAGCCAATCATTTATCTTAGACTCTAACTAGCCAATCATTTACCTTAGACTCTAACTAGCCAATCATTTACCTTAGACTCTAACTAGCCAATCATTTATCTTAGACTCTAACTAGCCAGTCATTTACCTTAGACTCTAACTAGCCAATCATTTACCTTAGACTCTAACTAGCCAATCATTTATCTTAGACTCTAACTAGCCAATCATTTACCTTAGACTCTAACTAGCCAATCATTTGTCTTAGACTCTAACTAGCCAATCATTTGTCTTAGACTCTAACTAGCCAATCATTTGTCTTAGACTCTAACTAGCCTGTCATTACTTCTGGCCTTAAAGACAAGAGAGGAAAAGCACAGGGCTGGAAGGTGATGCTATGAGCCATATAACGGTGGCCGAGTCCCCAGGCCCTTCTGGATGCAAACAGGTGTCCCCTGGTGCCATTTCTCATGCCCACTCTTCCTTTCCTCTTCCTCCAGCCTGGGGCAGGCGTGCCATCTGCAGCCGCCTCCTAACCAGCCCGGCTCTCTTTCCTCCCATAGCATAGAATCAACCACGTGGTGGGTGAGAGATCTCCAAACCCCCTAGAACCCTGGTGTTTGGAATCACAACGAAGTATTGGCAGAGTCACCATGGTTACATTCTGCTCGGAAACCCCTCGGAATCCGCAGACTCTGATGGGGGCTGTGGGGAGAGGACAGGGGTCTCTTCAGTTGAGGATGAAAGGCGAGTGGCTTTTCCTCATGGGGTGGAGCTCCTGTCTGTAACCTCTCTGCATCGCAGGGAGTTTTGGGGAGCAGTGTCACGAAGACCCCGTTGCCAGAGCATAGAACACGTTCTTTACAGGAGCCCCCCGGGGTCTCAGTGCACGCGAGAGCGTGGACCGCCACCACCGCTGACAGCCGTATGCTGTCATGACCTCAAGCGGAAACCCAAAACGCATTAGCGGTCGCTCTCCACCCTCTCCGCCCAGCCCCTGGCAACCGCTAATCTGCTTCCTGCCGCCGTGATTTGCTTATTCTGGACCTTTCACATACAGGAGACCCTACAGCCGTCCGATGAGGTTTTAATCAAGAAAAATGAGAGCCAGTGTCTGCGCGGAGGCTGCCGGGCCGCCAGCAAGACTTACGGAGCCCGGGCAGACAGCAGGTGGCCGCGCCGGGGGCCGGGCGAGGGCCCACTTTGTCCCCGGCCCCCGAGTGCCAGCTCGGCCACGTGCCGCTACAGAGCCTGCTACGGGGTCCCTGGGCCTCCCGCCCTCCCCAGGCTGAGGCTCCCGTCCCTGAAAAAGCCATCAGGGGCTCTTCGGGCTCGGAAGCGCCGTGGTTTGAAGGGAAAGCACAACTTTTAAAAAAGGGCAGTAAACAGCCTTATCTAATCTGATCTGGCACCGCAGCAGCCCAGCGGCAGGTGCGCTTCCTGTCGGGGCCACACCCAGGGGCGGGGCGGGGAGTGTGGGGGCGCACGGGCCCTGCACGTGTCTGGCAGCTGCTGCCAGGGAGCAGGTGGCAGCCTACCTTCTGGCAGAACCTGGTGGTGGGCCCGTCCTCGGCTGACTCAGCAAACTCGGTCCACGGGAGCTTCTCTCTCGTGCAGAACGCAAAGGGCATGGCTGAGGGAGGAGAGGCTGGTATCACACCCGTGCTCCGGGCCTCTGCGGGAGCGCCTTGGCCTGGCAGCGGGGGTCCCCACGAGAGCACTTGGCCCTGAGTGCCTCCAGCTGGCTTCCAAATCTCCCCCTCCCTCCCCCCTTCTCCCCAGCCTCCAGCTCTGGACAAAGGACAGACCCTAAGCTTTCAGGCTTCATAGCAAAACGAGGAGAGGCCAGATGCCTCACCTGTAGTCCTAACAATAATCACAGCTCAGACTTGAACAGAGACACCTACCCTCCCATGTCACCGCAGCATTGGGCACAGAGCGGAGAGAGGGGAGCCACCCGAAGGCCCACAGATGGAGGAATACCGGGTGTACCGGTTAATGATGCGGATTTTTGTCACTAGATGGGGTTACCCATATGCTGGTATATATGCAATTTGAAATGTATGCTATTTTGTTGTATTGACGACAGCTTCAAAATGTCATACATCAAATTTTCTGAAGGTGTTGATATCATAACTATTTCTATGTTTAAAAATGTTAAATTTCGTGCCAAAAAAAAAAGCATTTTGGGGAAGTTTTAATTCATTACTTTGCTTTGAAGAAAAGTGCTGCTGAAAGTGATCGTATACTTCAGGAAGCTTATGGTGAACACGCTCCATCTCAAGACACTGTGAACACTGGTGTAAATGCTTTAAAAGGGGTAATTTTGATGTGAAAGACAAAGAACGTCCAGGTCAACCGAGAAAGTTTGAAGACCAACAATGACCTGCATTACTGGATGAAGATGCGTGTCAAACTCAAAAACAACTCACAGAAAGATTAAATGTTGCTCAGCAAACAATTTCCGATCGTTTTCAAGCAATGGGAAAGATTTTAAAGGAAGGAAAATGGGTGCCACATCAACTGAACAAAACACAAATGGAAAACCGAAAAGCCATCAGTAAAATGTTGCTTAAACGGCATGAAAGAAAGCCTTTTTTGCATCGAATTGTGATTGGCAATGAAAAGTGGATTTATTTTGAGAATCTCAAATGCACAGAATCATGGGTTGATCCAGGTCAACCATGAACATCGTCTGCAAGGCCAAATTGCCTCGGAAAGAAGACAATGCTCTGCGTCTGGTGGGATCAGGAAGGTGTGGTGCATTATGAGCTTCTAAAACCAGGTGAAACCGTTTATACTGATCGCTACAGATAACAAATATGAATTTGAACCATACTTTGATCGTGAAATGACCAAGATAGGCCAGAAGACATGGCAAAGCGATTTTGCTTCATGATGATGCACTATTACACACTTCAAATCCAGGTAAAGACACGTGAAAAGATCTTGCCGGGAAGTGTGAACCCACCCGCCGTATTCACCAGCCCTCGCTCCTTCAGATGATCACATGTTCCGATCGACCGCACACGCCCTGTCTGAGCGGCACTGCCACACGGACGCAGACGTGGGAAATGGGGTCTCTGAATGGTCTGCCTCAAACAAGGACAGTTCTATTGGGACGGTACCCACCAGTGGCCTGACAGATGGGGGAATGTGTGGCTAGCGATGGACGTTACTTTGAAGAAAGCACTTTTGATGTTTCTCTTGAAATTATCGTGTTTTCTTTGATGACAAAATCCGAATTTTTAACCGGTTACTAGCTAATCCGCATTTTTAACCGGTTAAGAGCCGTTAGGTTTAAACCCGGACACCGGTCCAGGGAGAAGGACGAGGATCGTAAGCGCCCCCATTCCTTCCAGCCCCAGGAAGCCTGGGACGAAGACGGTGTCAAGTGCAGAGAGGTCACGTGGCAGCACCCCCTCTCCGCAGCCAGGGGTGGCGGCAGGGAGGTGCCTAAGTGGGCAGGAGGCTCTGCTCAGTGGGGCCCTGGCAGCAGGCTCACCCTCCCCAGCCTCCTCTCCAGCGGAGAGAGGAATTGTCTGGAGGAAGCCAGCGAGGAGCTGTTGACAGCAGCCCGGTCCTTAATGAGCTTTCAGAGCATTAGGGGCGACCCGGCCCCAGGAGAACAGCACCTCCCTCCTGGCTTCGTGCCAGCTGGAGGGGGGAGCGCCCCCCCTCCCCGTGTCTCCGTCTCCGCTTCTTCCCGCTTTAATGGCTTCGCTTCCTGTTTACACAGCCACCGCCACGTAAACAAACGTTCTAGAGAGGGATGTGGGAATGAGGTGGGGGAGGCTGGCTGCCAAGTCCCAAGTACAGTTTCCAATTTCAGGGGAGGGGGGTTTCCCATTCATGGAAGGGAGTCGGCGGTGAGCCTAGAGCTGGCCCTGCCTCGGCAGAGCAGCTGAAGTGTAACCTGGGGGCTGGGGGTGGGGTGCTGCAGGACCCCACAGAATGCCCCGTTCTGGGCCGGGGAGTCCCCTGGGCGAGGCTGTGATGGACGAGTGGGATTTTCCAGATCCAAGAGAGGGGAGAGAGTTGGTGAAACCATTTGATGAGCATTGTTTAATGTCTGTCATAGACCGGATTGCTTGAGCCACCACAGAGGAAAACGGGGTGGGGGGGTGAACAAACAAAACGTGGCCCGTGGTGCGATGACATAACCGGCGACACCCAGGCTGGCCCGCGGAGGAGAGTCAGGAAGACCGGGAGTGGCGTAACCAGAAATGAGAAGAACTTCCTGGGTACAGACGGCAGACCGACCCGCACCGCGATCCTTTCCTAAAACCCTGCATGGCAGAGCAGGGCTTTGTTGTTTGTGTGTGTGTGTGTGTGTGTGTTTAATATATTTTTTAATTGATTTTTTTTACAGAGAGAAAGAGAGAGGGATAGAGAGTTAGAAACATCGATGAGAGAGAAATATCCATCAGCTGCCTCCTGCACACCCCCCACTGGGGATATGCCCGCAACCAAGGTACATGCCCTTGACCGGAATCGAACCTGGGACTTTTCACTCTGCAGGCCGACGCTCTATCCACGTGGAGCCACACCAGTTTCGGCAGAACAGGGTTTTTTACGTGAAGCTAGAAGCCACCGAGGATGGGGCGCTGAGAGGGGCACAAGAACCACAGCATCTAGGAGGCTGGAGAGGGTATCTCAGAGGACAAAAACGGAGTCCCTCCAGCCCAGGAGGCACCCTGCCCTCCACCTCAGGCCCTTCGCAAGCTCAGGAGCCAGAGGCGCCACGTAGCTCTGAAGGGCGGGAGGCAGGGAGGGGTGACAAGCCAGAAGGGTTGGTTGCCAGTCCGGTTTAGGAAGCAGGCGGAGGCCCGGGTCCGTCCATCTTCTAGAAGAGGCTGGGATGTGCCCCACCCGCCCTGCAGAAGGCCACGGCTCATTCTCCAGAGAGCGCGAGGCGGAGGGTCGCTGGCCCTGGGGAAACCAGGACAGAGAACGGCATTGTGTCCAAAACAGAGGGGTTAAGTAAACACCAGTGTTCTGGACCCCTGTTCTCCTCCTCTCCTTGGCAGCAGATTAGAGACATCTTCTCCGGAGCCTCTGACCATTCTGAAGAGAATGACCTGGAGACAGGACCGTGGGGGATTGCATAACCGATAGCGGAACTGGGTCACCCTTCCAGGAAGCTCGATGAAGAAACCCCTCCTGCAAGTTCAGAGGCTGCAGTCAACTTGCTCGCCCCAAGTCTTAAAATAGAGCCCATCAGGGGGAAAAGACCAAAAGGAGTAAGAAGAAGGGACGATGTGGGAAGAAAAAAAAATTCTTAATATCTTCAGAGATAAGAGAAGATATTGCAATTAGAAAATAAAAACAGGACGTGATAAAAAAAAAAAAAAAAAAAAAAAAGGAACTTTCAGACCAAAAGAACTCTGATAAGCTCAAAAAATGAGAGCGGAGACCAAAGGCTGAACAGCAGGCTGAATGACAAATTAGGTAAAATCTACCAGAGAATTGAGGGGGGGAGGAAGAGATGTAATATAAATAAATAAAAAATAGGGATTGAGCCCAGAATTCCAAAATCCTAATAGCGGGATATCAGGAAGAAAGCAGAGGGGAAAAAAGAGGGGAGAAAATCACTAATGAAACAATGTAAGAAAATTTCCCAGATCTGAAGGACCCAAATTTCTAGACTGACATACCCCATGGAGTGCTTAGAACAGTGGATGAAAATAGATACAACAGCACATCATAATGCAATTTCAGAGAATTAGAGAGAAAGAGGAGCCCCTACAACCTTCTAGAGAGAACTACCTGAAGCCAGGAGACAACAATGGAGCAAGGTGTTTAAACTTCTGAAGGAAAATGATTGCTGACATAGAATTCTATACCCAACCAAACTATCAACCAACTCCTAGAAGAAAGGTCCCTAGGTAGAGAAGATTACCTCCTATGTGTTCTTTCTCAGGGAACTACAGCTGACCCTGAAAACACAGAGGTTAGAGGCACCAACCCCTCCAGCAGTTGAAAATCTGCGTATAACTTTCTATGGGTGAGAAAAGAAAGGAGACTTTAAAAACCATGAAGCAGATGCTATCAACATGGAGATAGAGCAGCACTGCCTGAGGGCGGCTGAGAACCCGCCTCCACCCCACCAGAGAGACTTACTCCACGCCTCCTGGAAACAGACGATGTTGACCCCGCACATGGCAGCCACCTCCACGATGGACTCTATGCGTCTGTGAAGGGCGGAGACCTGGTGATTTAAAAACTCAGGGTTAGGGGAGCGTGTGAGATCTCGCTTCCCTGCAGTATCGGCAGTTTGGCTCAAATAAACTCATAAACTCTACAAATGTGGACGTTTCTTACATGGGCATTTGCTGGCAAGATATATATATATATATATATATATATATATATATATATATATATATATATATATATATATGTTCAACCTCAAGATGTATGTGTGTGTGTGCGTGTGTGTGTGTGTGTGTGTGCTTTAAATTTCAGAGGGGAAAGGAGAGGGAGAGAGAGAACCATCAATAACTGATGGGCTGCCTCCTGGGGATCGAGCCTGCAACCCGGGCGCATGCATGTGTGTTGCTCATTGTTGAATGACTCGCCTTTCTCAGCCGTGCCCTTGGCCAGGCGTGTGCTCGCCCCTCCCCTCCCCTGCTCCCTGGATGAGCTGTCCGTGCCGCCCGCCGCGGGGAGCGTCTCCTGGGAGTCCTGAGGTGCCCTGCGGCGGAGCTGTTCCCATGGCGCCGCCCGTCACGCCATCGCCCCGGGAGGAGTGGGTCCCCACCGTCCCCGCGTCCTCAGCACCAGGCCGGCTCCCGGGGGTGGTCAGCAGGGTTTGCTTGGGGAAAGGGACCGGAAGCCGCCGAACACCCAGAGAGCACGCACTCTCCACGCTGCTCTCCCCCCTGCAAGGCTTGCACCCGGGCCCACGGGTGTTTGCTGGGGACAGCGTGCTGAGCGGGATGCTAGGGTGGCCCACACCCCTGCCCCTGACAACCTGGGACTGTCAAGAAGATATGTTGCCAAAACCAGTTTGGCTCAGTGGATAGAGCGTCGGCCTAGGGACTGAAAGGTCCTGGGTTCGATTCCGGTCAAGGGCATGTACCTTGGTTGCGGGCATATCCCCAGTAGGGGGTGTGCAGGAGGCAGCTGATGGATGTTTCTCTCTCATCGATGTTTCTAACTCTCTGTCCCTCTCTTTTCCTCTCTGTAAGAAATCAATAAAATATTAAATAAAAAAAAAGAAGACATGTTTACAATCAGCTCATCTGAAAATCAGAACCCTTTTCATCCAACCAAAGCAGAGGAAGGCCTGGCCGCCGTGGTTCAGTGGTTAAGGATCAGCCTAAGAACCAGGAGGTCAGGGTTCTATTCTGGGTCAGGACAGCTGATGCCCAGTTTTGGGTCGCCATCCCCAGTGTGGGGCGTGCAGGAGGCAGCCGGCCCATGATTCTCTCTCCTCATTGGTGTTTCTCTCTCTTTCCCTCTCTCTCCCTTCCTCTCTGAAATCAATAAAGCTATATTAGTAATAATAATGAAAAGCAGAAGGAGAACCGAAGTGAGGACGATGCAGAAACCCCACCTGGAGCCCAGGTGACCTCCGGTGTCTCAGAACCCCTGGGAATTCCCGAGTCGCCAGAGGAAGCCTGTGCAGAGAGCCGGCGGCGCGAGCAGCTGCGGGAGAGCTGGGAGCCGTGTGCACGGCACCCGCCTGTCCGTGCCAGCAGGTTTTGTTAGGGAAACACAAGGTGCCGTCCCACTGACAGTCTGTGTAAGCTCATAAGCAAACGCATCTCACATTCCCACAACCCCGCGGGCACATCAGCTGGCAGACACCTGGGCACAGTGAGTCCCGGCCTGAGGGACCAGGCAGAGGAAGTCGGGGACAGACGGACAGGTCCTGACCGGTGCCCGCTGGCGGGAGGCTGAGAGGTGGAGTTCCAGGGACGGTGCGAACCGGCCACAAGGGCTTGGTCCCCAGGGGAGATGGAGCCACAGGTCAAGGGCAGAAGAGGACGCAGAGGTGGAGGTGGAGGATGGAGGTGAGAAGCGAGAGGAGGCAGAGAAAGGGGGGGGGGCAGAAAAAAAAGAAGAGCAAGAGGGCCCTAGCTGGTTTGGTTCAGTGGATAGAGCATCGGCCTACAGACTCAAGGGTCCCAGGTTCGATTCCAGTCAAGGGCAGGTACCTTGGTTGCAGGCACATACCCAGTGGAGAGTGTGCAGGAGGCAGCTGATCGATGTTTCTCTCTATCCCTCTCCCTTCCTCTCTGTAAAAAATCAATAAAAAATATATTGAAGAAGAAGAAGAAGAAGAAGAAGAAGAAGAAGAAGAAGAAGAAGAAGAAGAAGAAGAAGAAGAAGAGCAAGAGGGAGACACAGGCAGAGGGATGGGGGCGGTCAGGGCAGAGGTGTCTGGGCATCCATGTACCCGCTAGCCAGGACCAAGTGGCCGGCAGGGGGCGGGGCTGTGTCCCACACTCAGAGCGCCCGGCCCGGGGGTCTATTTAGGGGCAAAAGCAGCCGCCGCACCTGCTCGGCCACGGGGGCGTCCGCGGGCAGGGGCAGCCTGTTCTGCACCAGCCCCACACGCACAATCCGCGGGGCCCGCAGCTGCTCCTCGGCCGCCTCGAAGGCGAATCCCTGCAGCTCGAAGTCCCCTTTGGCGGCGGATTCCAAAGCTCCGCTGGGCAGGTCGAGCTTCCTACAGGGCGGCGGAGAGAAGAGGGAGATGGTTGGCATGCGCACTGAAGCAAACCCCCCCCCCCCCCCCCCCCCGGCCCCGTCATCATCAGGCAGGGAAGAGGTCACGTGTCCCGGCAGGAAGGCACACGGAGCCCGGGCGGCCTGGCTCAGGGGGTGAGCATCGACGAATGGACCAGGAGGTCAGGGTTCCACTCCCGGTCAAGGGCACAGGCCCCGGTTGCAGGCCCGATCTCCAGAGTAGGGCGAGCAGGAGGCAGCCGGTCCACGATCCCCTTTCATCATGGATGTTTCTGTTCCTCTCTCTCCTCTCCCTTCCTCTCTGAAATAAAATAAAAAATTTTGGAAAAGGAAGTACACAGAGTCCTAGCCAGTGTTTGGCTCGGTGGATAGATAGAGCATCAGCCTGCAGACGGAAGGGTCCAGGTTCAATTCTGGTCAAGGGCACAGGCTTGGGTTGTAGGTTCGATCCGGGGTAGGGGGGGTAGGGACTGGGGGCAGCGGACGGGGGGTGGTCCCTCGCTCAGTGCTGGGTGGGCGGGGGAGGGCCCACATGTCCAGGCTAAAGGCCCGGGCGCTCCCGGTCTGTGGTTTATTAACAAAGGCCGGTGGATGATTGATGAGCACCCCCCTCCCCCCAGGAGTGCCCGTTGGCCCCGTGGGAGCACCTGCGGCTCTTGGCGTGGCCCCGGCCCGGGAGGCCTTGCCATCCGGGGACGCATGGTTATGAAATACCCAGGGAACACATCAAAAAACAACCTGACAGCCATTGTCTAAGAATAAGACTTCCCTCCCACCCAAAGTCACTCTCTTCAAGAGGCTTCTTTCAAAATCACAGGCCTGTCACCAAGCCCCTGCCGCCCCCTGCCAGGCGGCTCCCACCTGACAGCCTGACAGCTCCCGGGACGGGCTCCGCCCCTGCCAATCAGCTCCTCTGCGTCGCAGCTTAGACATGACAGCAGTGCCCACACCTCGCCCCCTTCACCGTGACTGCCTCGGAGCCGGTCCTTCCCTCCCCGGGACCCCTCCATCCCGAGGGCTCAGCCCCAGGCCCAGGCCCTGACCATCAGCCTAAGTCCACGCCAGGAGTCGCACCCCGCTGTGGGGAGGCCCTGGTGGCCCGTCCTCGGCCTGCGGTCTCACACCAGGAGGAGAGCAGGTGGATGAGGTATTTTTTTTTATTTTTTATTATTGATTTTTACAGAGAGGAAGGGAGAGAGATAGAGAGCCAGAAACGTCGATGAGAGAGATACATCGACCAGCCGCCTCCTGCACATCCCCCACTGGGGATGTGCCCGCAACCAATGTACATGCCCTTGACCGGAATCGAACCCGGGACCTTTCAGTCCGCAGGCCGATGCTCTACCACTGAGCCAAACCGGTTTCGGCTAGATGGGGTATTATTATTATTAGGTAATGGCTGGCAGGTTAGCAGCCCGACTATCACCATCACCTGGTGATGTCCCTCCGCCGCCACCATCTTCCCCGATCCACGGCCCACAGCTGCCTGCTCTCCCCTCTTCCCGCCACCACCTCCTGCCTCCTCCGTCTGTGCTGAGTGGCGCCTCCAGCTCTCAGTCCCTGCAGACACTCTGTCTCCTAGGCCTGAGGCGATACAAGCCAGGCCCCTCCACTTTCTTGAGGCTCTACCTGTCCCGTACAGACCTTTAAGCAAAGGAGCCACAGGCTATGGTTACTTTTTCCGGGTGCTTTCAGAAAAGGGGACTGAAGAGAACCCGGGGGAGAGAACCTGGGGGAAGGGGCAGTGTCTTCCGCCTTTGCAAACCCAGGTCCAGCAGCAATGCCCTCAGAAAGCCAGGACCGGCTGGGAGCGGGACAACATTTGCACTGAGCGTAGTCACCAACTCCCACCATTTGCCAAGTGGGAAGGGTTCCTTGACCTGCCCCCCCCTCCCCGGGTCAGCAGGCCTCCACCTCCAGGGGGGACCGCCAGAGGCCCACCCCAAGGAGGGGCTGGGGCTGGGCAGCCAGGTGACCTGCCGGGGCTCAGGCGGAGGCTCTGACCAGCACGGACAGCAGAGTACAGGCTCTGGAGGGACCTGATCACGGGAAGCCAGGAAGGAGAGTTAGGTGGCCACCGAGAAAGCCTCAGGGAGCAAAATACCCGTCCTTTCCCTTCCAGTTCCTGGGAGAAAGGCCTTGGAAAGCTCACACCAGCCTTGCCTGGTCCCCGAGCGGCACATCTAAACTTATGGTCTTTGCTCGGTACTTCGCTACGGCCCCTGCAGACCCTGAAGCACGCAGCCTGGTCCCCGGGCCCACATTCCCCACACTCGCCGGCCCCCTGTTCCCCCCCCCCCCCCCAAGCCTCTGGGCTCCAGACCTGGTCTCCTTGCCATAGAGAAGGCGTTTCACCTCCCTCAACTCTGCGGGCGGCAGGTGCTTCTCCAAGCACTGCTCCAGCGACTCCCACTCAGGCTCCGCCATGGCTGGAGGTGTCCAGGCCCCAACTGCCTGCCCTTTGCCCCCAGCGGGGAGCAGGAGGAGGAGGAGATGACCAAGTCCACACACGTGCCCTCCCCTGGACACTTTCCCCTTCAGCCCCGGGAGGGCTGCCTGAAGACACGCCCCTCCTCATGCCTTCGCAGCGCGCAGCCAATCAGCGCTCCAGAGCTTCCCCGGTGGCCCCGCCCCCTGCCTTTCGCACCGCCCTCGGCACGCGCCGGACACGCCCCCTCAGATGAAGGATTCGCCCCCTGCCCTTCGCGCTCCCTTTGGCACGCGCCGGGACACGCCCCCTTCGCGCCTTCGCAGCGCGCAGCCAATCAGCGCTCCAGAACTTCGGACACGCCCCTTCACCGAGGGACACGCCCCCTACCCTTCAAGCTTCCCTCAGCACGCGCCGGGACACGCCCCCCCTCGCGCCTTCGCAGCGCGCAGCCAATCAGCGCTCCAGAGCTTCGGACACGCCCCTTCACCGCGACACACGCCCCCTGCCCTTCGCGCCTCCTCTGGCACGCGCCAGGCCACGCCCCCTCACCCGCTCGGCCTGGGGAGGCTCGCGCCCCGGCGGCGCCTCCATCGCTGCGGTCCAGCCCCCTCGCCCTGGGCCTCTTGCTCGCCTTCCGGTTCCGCCCCTCACCTGCCCCGAGGTGTCGGGGCGGGACCGACCCCCGGAGAGGAGGTGAGGCGGCGGCGGCGCGGCGGCTCTGAGGTAAAGGGCGGGCCGGTTCCGCAGCCCGTGGGCTTGGCCTCTCCCCACCGCGACCGGAAGAGTTGGGCCCGCGAGCCCTCCGTGCATCCCTCCGGGCCGGACCTGCGGGTGCCCGCAGGGCGGTAACCTCAGGGCGAGGCTGGCTCCGGCGGGTCAGGGCAGAGGCCCTGGGTGCGACCTGGGCGCATCCCTCGTCTCCTCAGAGGACTTATGAAGGTGGTGATCGCTGCCCAGTTGCCTTTCCACTTGGAATAAGACGCTTCGCTAGATCCTTCTGTGGCGATCGTCTTATTTAAAAAAAAAAAAAACATTTCTATTGATTTCAGAGAGAGAGAGGGAGGGAGAAACACCCATGATGAATTGTGTGTGTGCGTGGCAATCATTTTATTAAAAAAAATTTTTTTTTTACTTTCTAACTATATTTTATTGATTTTTTTTTTTTTTTTACAGAGGAAGGGAGAGGGATAGAGAGTTAGAAACATTGACCAGCGGCCTCCTGCACGCCCCCACTGGGGATGACACCCCCCACTGGAGCTGTGCCCGCAACCAAGGTGCATGCCCTTGACCGGAATCGAACCTTTCTTCTGCAGGCCGACGCTCTACCCACTGCTCTACTCACCAGCCAGGGCCGTTTACAAAGGCGTTAAGCTCTGCCCACGGGTGTGGGCTGCGTCGGCGCACCCTGGAGCCAGGGATCCTCCTCTTTGTGACCCGCGTGCTCCCTGCGGGGACACATAGGGGACCGATTGGCAAGTGCATCCAAACGGGGGCAGGAAGCAGGGGGTCCTCACAGCCCCAGGCCCGCGGCGCCCCCTGGGGGAGGCGGTAGCACGGAGGACGGGTGCCCTGTGCCGACACATAGCGTTTTAAAATAGATCCCAAGCGGAGGATCCGAACCTTAACACAGCCAGGTCTCTGTTCGATGGCTTTCCTTTATGTTTGCAATAGCTTATTAAAAATCATTTTATTTAAAAACAAACAAACAAACAAATAGAACCTTTGAAGCCAGGAGCCAGGCATCTGCATGATCTGTTGTCCTCGTAGGAAAGGAGGGGAGGGCTGGGGAGGGGAAGAGAGGAAGTGGGAAGACAGTCAGTGCTTGGGGGTGATTTAGCTGTAACACGGTTCTGATCATCTAGCCCCGTGGTCGGCAAACTGCGGCTCTCGAGCCACATGCGGCTCTTTGGCCCCTTGAGTGTGGCTCTTCCACAAAATACCATGGCCTGGGCGAGTCTATGTTGAAGTCGCGTTAGAAGAAGTTTAATTTTAAAAAACGGCCGAAAACCGGTTTGGCTCAGTGGACTGAAAGGTCCCGGGTTCGATTCCGGTCAAGGGCATGTGCCTTGGTTGCGGGCACATCCCCAGTAGGGGGTGTGCAGGAGGCAGCTGATCGATGATTCTCTCTCATCGATGTTTCTAACTCTATCCCTCTCTGTAAAAAATCAATAAAGTATATATTTTTAAAATGTGGCTCTCCAAAGAAATGTCCATCGTTGTGCTGTTGATACTTGGCTCTGTGGACTGATGAGTTTGCCGACCACGGGACTATTTACATAAAAATTCCTCTACGTGCTCCTCTTCACCGGAGAGTTTCGTGATGGAGGCCGGTTTCCCGGAAAGAGCTCTCTAGTGTCTGTGTTTACGTTGGGTGTCCATTCCCATCCTCCGGGGATGGGTGGAGGGTGCGGTGGGTTCTGCCCATGGGCACGGGAAGGTCTGAGACTGTGTGCTCATCGCTGGGTGAGCGATGCTTGCAGGGGCCGCTGCCCAGAGGTGCCCCCTGTCCTCGTTTCTCTGATGAGCCCGAGGGGCGGCCGGTGCCCTCGGCCAGCACGGCACGGCACCAAAGTGTTTGCCTCTCTGTGGTCCCGTTTAATCCTCCCGGGAATCCTGTGAACTCCGGGGTAAAGGCTCTCAGACACGGTCGCATTTCCAAATTAAACACGACCCTTGCTGGAAAGGAGACTGCGGGAGCCAGCACGGTCAGGGAGAAAAGATCCGAGGTGACCCAGTTTCCCAGTCAGCTTTCTAATGGCCCCGTTTCTGGGTTAACTTGTTTCTCTAGCTTCCGGATGTTTCTTAGATCGGAGGGTGCAGTTCCTCTTGCTTTGCCAGGGTCGATTTCATTGTCGTTGTTTTGTTGTGATGTAAACGTAAATACCGTGCCCGGAAGAGTTTGGGACTAATGTAGGCATGGATGCTGGAGCAGAGTGTGGCTCCATCCATCTTTCTTTGAAGTGGTGGCACCTGAGGTGTCTTTGTCTCCCTTTTAGCAGCTTGGTCCCTTGGTTCTGCCCTGCTCATCCCTACAAGGTCTCTGCTCCGGATAAAATTTAATAATCCACCTTTTTAAAAATAATCCATCTTAATGTTAGCTGACCTGCGGGAAAATGCACTAATCAACTCCATTTTCATAAGGAACCATTCAAGATCCTACAGAAGGAACTTCTGACGGTGAAAGTGCCAGGCATGAGGACAGAAATATTTAGATGAGAAGACCTCACCCTGTAGGTAACATCACTCAGTGGCCTTATTACTAGTGCGAACCCTGAGAAGAAGAAGGGGAAAAATTTAAAAAGAAAATCTACAATTCTTGGTGACTGAGTCGTGGCAATATATTTCTTTGCCCAGATTCAATAAGAGCAGTCTCCAGGTGTGCTTTTATTAACCAAGACTTTGCCTGGCATGTCATTTAGGGGGAGAAATTGTGTTTCAATCTATACATATAAAAGCCTAGGTGACCATCCGACCGTTTGACTGTCCTACCGGTAGCTATGACGGGCAATGACCACCACCAGGGGGCAGATGCTCAACACAGGAGGTTGGCTCCAGGGCGTGTCCAGCCTGTCTCGCCCAGTCTGCCCCGTTGGCCACCTTCTAATTAATTTCCTTTTAACTAAGATGACCAGATGTCCCACTTTTGGCGGGACAGTCCCGATTTTTAACAATTTGTCCCGTTTCCCACGGCGTTTTAAAAAAGTCCTGAAAAATCTTGAGCGGGGATGTGGGGGGCAGTTAGAACGAGCACAGTACGGACGATGGGCCAGCTTCAGAAGGTCACCAAGGTGGAAAAGCCCCAGGGTGGGACCTCACCGCCAGGTGACTTTCTGTCCCCTAGAACATGGCTGGGCATGGGGCTTGGAGCCCCAGGCCTTTCCTCCGTGGAGATAACATCAAGGCCTCAGTTGTATTTCAGCTCCAGGCCCAGAAAAACAACAAAACCAACACAGCTAGGCCAGGGCCAGCTGCACGGAATAATGACCCTGCCTGGTGCCAGCCAGGCAATCAGTGGAGACCACAACCTTGAAAGGACACACCTGGAAAACTGCCGAGTCTTCTATTGAGATCCTCCCCTGAAATCTCCACCCTTAAACCCCTTAGGGCCGAGGACCAAGTTTGCCCGCCCTCCAGGAGCCTGTCTGCCCTCCCAGGAGCCTGTCCTCCCTCCCAGGACCCTCTCCTCCCAGGAGCTGCCCTCCCAGCAGCATGCCCACACCTTTCCCTCTCCCGGGCCCCTCCCCCTGGCTCCCAGGCACATTGCATCGCCTTCCTCCTTCCCAAGCCCTAAGAGTGCTGTCTCTATAACTTGTTTCCTAAACCCATTTCTTGTAGGTGGCTTACCAAATCAATGTTCTTTTATTATTTAAAAAAAAAAAAAAAAAAAAAAAAAAAAGATCTAGGAAGATTTTTAAAAGCAGAGCCCAGCAGCATTCCTGCACAGGCCTCTCAGCAGGCTGCTCTTCTCGGAGCGGCTTTCTGTGCCGGCCGCCTGCCTGCCCATACACCGCCCGCTACCTGCACCGAGTCAGCCCTTTGAAGGTCCCAGAGCCTGTTCCAGCCATCTGTGCAGGCAGCTGTGGGAAGGGGCCGTGTGTAAGGGGTTTATGTTAGTTCCGCGGGGCCCCAAGGCGGGGAGCTGAGGCAGTGGACGGAAGTCAGGCATATTTCAGGCCAAAGCAGTGATTCCCAAGAAGCGGTGGGAAGATGAGCCTCGCTGCCTCTGCAAGCGGAGAGCTCAGTCCCGGCGTCCGAGTGCCGTCCGAGTGGCCACTTGGTGGGAGTGTTGTAGAAGGAAGCCCTCGACGGGTGGCCGAGCCAGTAAATGGCTTTCCTGTGAACCCCAAACAGGGATGGGACGTCCAAAGAGACCACAGGACAATTCAAGACAGTTTGGCATATAAATGAGAATCAAGAAATGTGATTTTACTGAAAAAATCAGGTAATAGGAGGACTTCATCATTGTTAATATTATATTAATAGTGCATTTGGTTTG